ACCTGCTGTCTTTTTTTACAGATCTTGGTATTAGTTTCATTGTTTTACGATTTTTTTTAATAACACTGTTATCTTTGATTAAGATACTTTTTATTTCCAACACTGTATTTTGAGCGCCATTTATCATATTTTTCATAATTTGTGTCCACCATTAGCCTTTTAGGTATTAACACATGAAGTTGGTCATCTCTGATTTTAAAGGCATGGTATCATCGTTATTTACCGCTTGTTTAACATTTTTCTCTTCTTGAACCTAAAGTCTGCATCTCTGTGTGTGAGTCACAACAGTAATAACACCACCGTCATTGGCCGCCGTTTTGACTGTTTGAGCACGCTCTGGCCCTGTGTAATCTTTTGCCGCAATTGTAGCAGACACTATTAGAGTTGTCCATTTGAAGTCTAAGAGCCATTGCACACTTTTTAGCACACTAGAGTCATTTGAGCTAACACAGCATTACTCAGTATTTTCAAAACTTCTCAGCTGTTTTTTGAATGCTACAAAAGGTACTTTTCCATCACTCTGCATGATAGGGATGGCAAGTGATTTAAACAATTCAGGCAAAACTTTGAAAATCATCACAATCAGCAATGTGTCACTTAATATCTCCGCATTTCTTAATGCTATAATAATGGTTGTCTGTGCAAGTAGAATGTGATTAAAGACAGCCTTTTATGATCTAAGAATTGAGTTAACTTAGCTCAGGAGCGTTGCTAGTGTCAAACACCAAGGTTGCAGCCCAAAAGTAATTTGGTGGCCACTCCCTAAAGCTCCAATCTGAACCTCTACTTAAGTCTGCCCCTCCCTCAACTATACCCTTTAACACAGCTGTTGGTATAATCACTTATGCTTACATACACATGCACACACACAGATGCAAATAGGCAGGCACAGACACACGCAGCCTTACACAAGTACGCACAGGAACTCTCAGACACAAACAGGTATACACAGACATATACAGGTACATAATGACACAGATAGGTTCATAATGGTATGTACAGGCACACACATACACAGACAGGCATAAACAGACACACGGCCAAAGACAGCTAAGTACACATATACACAAACAGAGGATCCAGGGCCAGAGCACCTGCAGATAGAATTGTAACACAGCCTCAGACAGCCTGAACAAGTATTGAGTTGGCCGTGATTAGAGATGGATAGGTTGGAGTTGCATGAGCACAGGGAATGGATGGGATTGGAGGAATGAAAAGGAGTGATTGGAGTGAGGGAGGATAGGGGAAAAGGAATTGGTAGTGGGGTAGAGAGGGATAGATTGGAGTGATGGCATTAGAAGGATAGACAGAGGAGATTGGAATGATGGGAGGGTAGACTATAGGAGTGATGGGAATATAGGGATGGAAAGGAGTGATGGAAGCACAGGGATGGAAGGGAGTGATGGGGTGGGGTAAGAGAGAAAGGAGTGATGGGAGGGAGTGAAAACTCACATATGGGCTGCACATGGGTTTTCAGAGTTTCACATAAAAAGAGATTTACTGTTGTGAACCTGTGTTAAAAAACTGCATTTTATTACGGTATATATTTATATTTTCCCACTACTGTTGGTGGAGGAACAACAGGAGATATGCTGCAGGGCTGCTCTCTGTATTCTCCTTGTGTGTGGAGTCTATTCTGGAATTTGAAAGGATCTGTTGTCTCATCACCTCGCCCATTGCAGGATCACTCAAACATGGATACCATGATGGAAGCAGTGACAGGCTGGAACATGGCATATCACTGCCTCTGCACTATAGCGGACTGCCCTCTAGCCAAGGACTGCGTCGTATAAATTAAAAAAAGCACATGGTGCTGGTCAAACCAGCACCAAGTTGCAATAAGGCAGAGCAGATCAAAACAATTGGGACTATAGGGTCCCACATTTGTGGTGCAAGCCCACCCCCCCAAACCTCTCTAGCTACCTCTGGAGGGTAGGATAACAAGGCAAAACAATAGGGAGAAGCACACACCACACAACTCCACACTCAAGAGGAAGAGGCGACTTTATTGTACTATGGACATAAATACTATTAAGATCACCATAGGACTATATCTGAAAAAACGTAACACTTCCCATCAGCCTCTCACACAGGAAATAAGTTGCAGTTAGAACAGGGACTGTACTGAGTGATGCACACTGTATAACATTTACCGTAGCTCTGTTTTCGATCAATAGGAGACAGAGTGGGCTATAAAAATCATACAAGAGTGAAAACGTTGAAAAAAACCTTTCAAACATAGCCCTAGCCTAAAATTTAATCTTTCCCAAAACCTAAACAAACCTTTTCCTTAGTCCCAAATTTAACCTCTGTATAGTCTAAACATGAAAACCAATCTACCATAATCCTAGGTTTAACTATCTTAAAAACAAAAGACCCCAGGGCAGGTCTTACCATTAGCCAGAGTAAGTGCCTCCAGTTGCCTGTCCTGTAAGAGGCAACTCATGCATAGCGTGAGAACATACTGCGCTGTTTCACATTCACGTTCATGGAGTTAAACTCCTTAAAACAGCAGGATGCGCCTCTAGTGGCTGTCTTGTAGAAATTGCAATGTTTTAGATTGCAAGGTTACGGGGACAGGTACAGCGCACCCAGACCACTTCAATTAGATAAAGTTGTCTGGGTGACTGTAGTATCCCTTTACATACTGACCGCAAAGCGCTCGAGTGAGATGGATAGCTACAACTTGCAGCTGCTAAAAGCATGTTTTATTATAAGTTATTATGCAATGTACGATCACATACTGTAACTAAACCCACATTATTTTAGAGTAGGTTAGTTGTTTAAAAAAAACTATTACATTCTGTGAGCTTTGAAATGGCTGTTATTGCATGAGTGAGTAGTAGATGATTGCATGCGCTGGATCTTGTGTATTTTATATATATATATATATATATATATATATATATATATATATACACACATACACACACACACACTCGCACACACACAAATATATTTCTTCACAAAGCCAAATTTAGAAAATGGCACTTGATTGCTTACACCATAAAAAAAAACCCTGTTGTCATAGCAACCTTCCAAGGAATATCTGAAAATCTGGCGAGTTTTAACATTCAGAACACATTTGCATTTCCTGTGCAGCCCTCAGAAAATGTGACAATTCTTCGTATGTGTTATTACAGAGCTGGCCTGTAACGGAGTGACTTCTCATGATGCACTATTTTACAGTAAAATTATTCTGAGAGGTGGGAATGATATCCCATGAGGTATTAAGATTTCATTCCAAGCTACCTGTGCAGATTCACAATTTGGGAAATCAGTATGGGCAGCTGCTACACAGGGGGGGAGGGGGGGGGGGTTAAATAACCCTCACCTCTTGCTGCTACCTGCTGGCCTTGGGGCTTGGTGTTATTACACTGAGTGCCCCATTAAAGTTCCAACATCAATGGAAGAAACTGCTTACCTCTTAGAATGAAGGACTGTGGGTAAACCTGGATGAAATCACTAACAATGCAGTACACCTAGGGGAACCACAGGCACTTCAAGGGCAAGATCACAATCTTTTTTTTTTTTTTAACTTTCCATTCAGTGACAGCATTGTTATTTTTGTTCTGTTGGAGGTTTAATGTACAGCTTTTCTTCAACTTTCAATATATTATTCAGTCCAAAAGCATAAAATAAACACTCTAAGCCAGGGGCAGACAATCTTTGGCACTTCAGATGTTGTGGACATCGCCACTTGGGTGGGATAGGTAATGGTGAGATTTAATTACCTGAACCTGTCCCACACAGGCATCGTCATCTTCGGTCTGCTCCTCTTCAGCATGTGCGAGAGTAGAGCACTGAAGCCTATTCTCTATAGACACAGCCAATCTCCTGCAGCCATTATTATGAAAGACTTATTTTTCAGCGGGGTAACAGTGCCACTTTAATGGCATAATGCTGGCAAAGCATCAGGGGAGATGTAGTCCACAACTTATGGAGTTCCAAAAGGTTGCCTAACCCTGCTCTAAGAACATGTACAAATGTGAATTTAATAGCTATTGGTTCCATTATTTATCGTAATTTCGCTAACTATATTAATAAAATAAAGAATGCTCTCCTTCCCTCCCACCACCTGTCTCCCTTCACAACATGTGCATGACCTTTTCGCAGCATTGCTACCGACCCGGTTAGGTACTAAAATGGGCATTTAAAGCAAATTTAAGGTGAATTTCAAACATAAGGCCAAACTAGTCAAACCGGAAAAATTATCTAATTCACAAGTGCTTCCAGTTCAGCAGTGTTGACTGCTGAAATTTAAAATGTAATGTGGAGTTTTACTTTAGTGCATAATCCTTTGTGTGCTGTGAATCTTATGTCACATTCTATTTAGACTCTCGAAGTTTTCTGTAAAACATTTTGGTTTTTGCTTTAATGGAATACCTCCACGTGATGTCATTATACACTATATAGCTGTTCCATACTGAAGGGTAAATTACAATCAACAGTTGGTACTTTATGGATAACTTTTTCTGACTTTCTGTAGAAAATGTTTTCAACACAATCAAAATTTTAGGAACCATTTTATGACTCCAAGGTTAGAAAATGTAATTGGTTTGTTAATCTTAGTGGTGCTGGGCTCTATAGGCAGGTATTGAGAGGTAAATTACAAAAAACACTTTAACATATTAACTATTCGATTACATCACAGATTGAAGGTTACAGGCAAACAAGTGCATTGCTGATAGAAGTAAGTGACAGGTGTCATATTATGCTCCAAATGGACTGTGCAATATCTGTGTAGAAAATGGACATTTCCGATAAACACATTTGTTTCTGTTTTGCTATTGATTCCACTGCTACATTGTAGTTACAGTCCTTATTTGTTCTTTGATTGGTTTAATTAATTAACACGGAATCTGACAGTGAAATAGAACACAAAACACTCTTGCAATGTCAGTTTCTTAGATACTCCTTGATCTGGACAATATTGTCATTGTATTTCATGCTCACTCTATTTATGGTCTTTAAAAATAATAAAAGAAATATGACAAAAATGTCTTAATAATTTTATGTATATTTATTTGTTTTACTTTCCAACACGTTCTCTGTTAAAAGGACAGTTATGTGGCAGTGATAGATTCTTCATCCCAGAGGCATGGCATATTGGCACATTCAGTCTCTGAGCCGAAAGGCACATATGGTTACACATTGCCTACAAACCATATAAAACAGCGTGCATTCTAAACATGTCAACAATGACAATAGTTAAACATAATAAGGCTAGGTTTAGCCATTTTTAGAAAATATTCACTGGAATATTAAGGTCAGGGATGTCCAAAATCAGTTTCTCCAACTGTCCTTAGCTACCATAGACCAACCACTGATGCCATTAGTAGGATAGTAAATATTGGGGCTTGAGAGCTGTGGTTTAATATACCTAGGTAATTGATTGTTAAAGTGGTCCACGGGATACTCCCGGGTGGATTACTGGACTATTAATTTATACACCAAAAATGGACTTAACATTTTTATAGAGTTTCCAAATGCTACCTGACTCTGATCCACCATGGGATAGATGGGGTATTCTATCATGTTTTTCCCTATTGTTTTTCCAAGGTAGAAGAACAGATCATGAATTTATGGCATTCCACGTCTGAATATTTAAAGCTTCACCTCAAACGGGTGCCACAAATGTGCAGTTCAGCCCTAGAGCTGTATAAAGATGCAATTCTAGTCTCTTACAGAGTGTCGCTAATATCACAATCGTTCATTCCTATAGGGAAACGCTGATCAAAATGAAAGTTCAGACAGGCCAGACGGGTAGTAGAACACCCCCATTAACACATATTTCTCCTAATTACACGTGTAATATGTTTGTTTGTTTTTTCCGTCTTTTAAGATTCTATACATTGTATAAGTTAATAAAGTAAATGAAGTCACGGGAGGTCTCTTAACTCGATCACAAATGGTGCTGGAATAAAATCTTGGGGGAAAAACAAACATATATTTCAATTATTTTGGCAGTGCAGTTTCTTCCATAAACAGAGCACCAATTTAAAGGCAGAGGATTTCACTTTCTCAAACCCTAGAACAAAAGTGGTACGGTAGCAACACAACCTACTGGCATAGTGTTAAGTCCATGTTGCAGAATAGTTAAGAATTTAGTTGTTCAATGCTGGCCTACATAATGGGATGCAACATTAAAAGTACTGAGAATTCTACAGCTGTGACTCCTAAGAGATTCTGCATCAGATTGGTTTATTTTACTTCCGTATGTTTTCCTGGGAACGTGAATCAGCAAGTTTGTTAATTTTCACGACATACCATAAAGCATTATAAAGTTTACACATAGTCCGACATTAAATGACCATCCAATTATTTCCTGTTTGCATCTATTCTACATATTTGATGAAGTGACATACTTTTGGTCCTAAGTAAGTGTACGAGTATAGTGTTATCATCTCATGTAGTCATTACTGGAGGGAAATAATAAGGCAACTATCTTGTGAAGTTATCTGATAAATACTTATCTCCACAAATTGAAGATGGTTTGTTAGTATATAAAACAAACAATGAAGGTTTTAGAAGTGGAACAATTTGAGTATGCAATATAAAAACAATGTGGACAGTCCAAAGGTTCTGGAATTGTGCGTCAGTGGTGTAAGTGCGCCCTTTTCTCTGGAGGCAGTGTGTGCTTTTGACTTGTGCAGGGAAGAGAAAGGTCCAGTAATTAGTTGGTAGGACTTCTCTTAGACACTGTGAGCCAAGCTTCTTCTTTTGGGGACGTGACAAGCTCGTACTTTGTTTCTACAACCTGCCCTTTTACTGGAAGCAAATTAAGTTTCCTGACTAACACGCAGAGAAGCACAGTCGCCACCATGTAGGCAAACCTAGAGATGGAGAAGAAAAACACATGGATTTAATGTCAAAGCACAGAGTCATGTTATCGCATCAATACCAAATGGGGGAACGAGAGGCAATAGCATACACTAAACAATATGACATAATAGGCATAACTGAAATGTGGTGGGATGAGACACATGACTGGGCAGTTAACTTAAATGGGTATACACGATTTAGGAAGAATGGAAAAAAAAAAAAAAACAGGAAAGGTGGTAGGGTATGTTTGTATGTCAACCATGAGTTAAAGCCAAATCTTAAGTATGTGGAATGTGATGAGGAAAATGTGGAAGCTTTATGGGCAATTATTTGTTTGGGGCAAAAGAGGGGAAATCAATTATTGGTTGGGATATGTTCTAAACAACCTTGTGTTAATATTGATGAGGAACAACAGCTGTTCGAGCAAATTGAGAAAGCTGCAAATCTGGGGAACATGTTAATTATTGGAGATTTTAATTACCTGGACATAAATTGGGACAGAGTAACTAGTAGTTCAGCATAGGAAATTAGGTTTTTGAACTTGATAAATGTCACAATTTGTACAAGCAACAAGTAGAAAGGACGTTGATCTTTTTTTGTTGTTGTAAATTGCAATTTTATTTAGACTCAGTCATGCATGGCACAGAAAAAAGAAACATGACATTTGGAAACAAATAAGGTAAGACACATGTTGTAGATACATCCTCACATATCATACAAGATTTGGGTAAGCATCTCTGTTCTGTCACATACATACATACATACATGGTCCAAGTCCAGTGTTTCACTAAATATTTATATAACCAGAAACAAGGGGTAGCAGAGTGGGTACATGTTGTGTATAACTCAAATTCCCAGACTACGTTAGAGTCCGGATCTGTCTATTGAACTGTGACAATACCCTACTACTCTACAACACATTGCATTATGCATACATAGTACTGAAAGGTTTGGATGGGTTCAGCTGTCGGACCTCGATGTGTAGTAGTATTTTATTTTAATTCTATTGTTGAAGTTCCTTCATGACCTTCGCCCAGGCCTCCCAGGCTATTTCCCAATATTGTTTATATCGTGGGTGCTCTCTTTTGGGAGGCATATTTTGTTGCCGTATAGGAGTGTCATAGAGACGTGTTTGGTTTATGTGTTGTATACACATCGGTGAGGACCAATTTTGGAGTATATGAAAAATAAGATAACGATCTGGCTTAAGACTGAAGCTGGGAAGTTGAATAATATGTAGTGTTGCAATTAGTGTGGCAGGGTTATCCCTGTGATGTCTTTGATGAGTTTCGCTATGTCCCTTTAAAATTTGGATAGACGCAGGCAGTCCCACCAGACATGCAACATGCTTCCTATGCCACATTTGACTCTCCAGCAACAATTGGATATAGTAGGTCTAAATTTTTGCAGCCTTGCTGGTGTTAAATATCACCTGTAGAGTAGTTTTTTGTTGTTGCTAATTCAGCGTGTTTAGAGCAGAGAGTTAAGGTTTTGGGAAGGGTAATCATTTGTTCCCATTCTGGTTCGTTGAATGTTTTCTTTAATTTCGTTTCCTACATTTTAATAAAGATGTAGTCTTTCAATTCTTGCTTTGTAGGTATTGCAGTGTATATGGAGAAGATAATTTTTGGGGAGGTTTAATGTCCACGTACATACCCTCGAAGTCCGTCAGCTTTTGCCCATTAACAGAGATAGAACCTGATTGGTGTAGTTATCCAAGAACTAAGTGGTGGGGGTACGAGGGGACCTGCACCAGGTTCCACTGTAAGTTACTAGCAACTGGGCAGCAGTAGTCTTTAGTCTTTTATTACAGTGAACAACCACTGGCTGCTCTCGGTTGAAGGGGCATGCCTACATTAATGGTAAGTCTGCAAAAACTTTTTTATTTATTTCATATTTTGAGAAAAAATGTCAAATGATTTAATATTGTGAAAAATAATGTAATATCTGATATATTTTTTGATATTTCAATATTTTAAAAAAAAAAACGTATGTAAAAAGTTTATTCAAATATATGAAAAAAATATTAGAATATATATTTTACAACGTATTATATAGCATTTTAGAGGCCTTTCCAAAAATATTAAACTCAAGGCCTGAGTTATAGTCATGACTTGGATATTTTTGACCGAGTTTTACAATTTAGATTTAACTCTAGTTTAGTGAATAACCGTACAATGTCAAATCAGCTGCTTCTGTCTATTACTACGGTTTATAAATTTATTACAATTCTATGTATCATTATAGATCTTGGCATTTCTTCTGGGCAGGAGAAGAAGAGCCACATAGCAAATAAAACTGGGATTACAAGTAATACTGATAGACAAGTTCTACCAGTTATTTTTGTGAATGTTTTATTTATCCCATTTACCATCCCTATGGGTTATTGATCGTTGACACTCATCAATGTATTAGAAATGTTTTCAAATTAAAGTCAAGATCCATCACTTTCTTCCCTGCAACAAGTGTAATCTCAAAAAGGTACATTACCTCAATTCAGGGCACTCTAGGCTGCCCGAAAAACCCAGCAAAGTCAAGTTCTGCTTGGCTGATTCATCATCAAAGCGGTCTGGATCAAACCTGAAGAAAACAAAATGGTTATTTTTAAAGAGCAACACTACAATAAACAAATATATCTACAACATAACATCCTCATACATTCAGCCTTAAGACTGAATCAAAGACATTGCTATGAAAAGTGAAAGTGATAAGTAGGAATGACCAGATTCTTTGTAACAAAAGTCACATTCTAACCTCATTATGACAGCCTTGACAAGTCATCTATTTTGAATTGATTCGGTTCCCTTGTTCATCCCTGGCTACCCTACTTCCTCTCTTCTAATATTCCATCCCTAATTCTCAGGGACGTCAACATTCCTATTAACCCACCTTTGACCTCAGCAGCCTCTAAACTACTTTCAATTACTTCCTCCCTCGGGCTATCGCAGTAGGCTAATTCTCCCACCCATGTAGCTGGCAATACCCTCAACCTCATTTTCTCTTCAGTATCTAATATCTGCAACACTCCATTTCCGCTCCCTGATCGCCACCTCTTATCGTTTGCTTTCGAGCACGCCCTTACCCAACAACTTTAGCCTAACCCCCCTCAACTCAGGAGGAACCTTAATTCTATTGACCTCTAGCAGCGGTCAGCTGATATTGATTTACAACTGCCATCCATCCCTTCCCTCTCCTGCCCCTCACTGGCCATCTTCACATATAACACTACCCCCACCTCTGCCTTCAACGCTGCAGCCCTGGTCCAAACATGCACCTCGAGGAGGACATGCCCCCAACCATGGCATACTAAATCAACACGCTACCTGCAAAGATGTTCCCGTTGTGCTGAACGCTCCTGGAGGAAGTTTCGCACCCAATCAGACTTTCTCCATTATAGATTCATATTGTGTTCATACAACGCAGCACTTGCCTTCGCCAAACAGACATACTTTTCCTCTCTCATTAGTTCATGCTCCCGCAATCCCAGGCGTCTCTTTGACACCTTTAACTCTCTTTTTTTTCGCCCTGGTGTGGCCAACCCCAAAACTAACCCTACAGCTGATAGCATTGCATGCTACTTTACCAACAAGACTGAACAGCTAAGGAAAGAATTCTCCCGACCTTGCTGTTCTCTTTCCCTATCACACGTAGATCATGCCTTTCCTACCCTTCAGACTTTCTCCCTGGCTGCTGAACAAGAGGTGGCTGCGCTTCTCCTTTCCTCTTGACCCACCACTTGCCCATTCGATCCTGTCCCATCTCACCTTATCAGATCTCTCTCCCCTTGTTTTGTGCCTTCCTCAACACCCATCTTCAACTGCTCTCTCTTCTGGCGTTGTCCCTGCTGACCTTAAACATGCCACTGTAGTACCTATCCTGAAAAAAAACATCCCTTGACCAGTCCTCCCCTTCCAACTATCATCCCATATCCCTGCTCCCTTTTTCCTCAAAGCTTCTGGAAAGACTTGTCTTTACCCGTATGTCTCACTTTCTCAATTCCAACTCTCTCCTTGACCCTCTTCAATCTGGTTTCCGCCCTCTCCACTCTAATGAGACTGCTCTTCGCAAAGTTACTAACGACCTAATCGCAGCAAAATCCAAAGGCCACTACTCCATACTACTTCTTGACCTCTCTGCTGCCTTTGACACTGTTAATCATACTCTCCTTCTTCAAACTCTTCAATCACTTGGGCTCTGTGACTCTGTCCTGTTGTGGTTTTCCTCTTATCTCTCCCTACGCTCATTCAGTGTGCTTTTCTAATGATACCTCCTTCCCTGGTCCTGTCTCAGTTGGAGTCCCCCCAAGGCTCTGTCCTTGGTCCCCTTCTATTTTCTCTTTATACTGCCTCTCTTGGCAAACTTATTACCTCTTATGAATTCCACTACCACCTGTACGCTGATGACACCCAGATATCTCTATCCTCCCCAGACCTTTCCCCTGCCATCCTGCAATGTGTCACTGCTTGCCTTTCTTCCCTCTCTGACTGGATGTCCTCCCACTTTCTGAAACTCAATCTCTCTAAAACTGAGCTCCTTGTCTTTCCTCCTCCTAATGCTGATCCTCCTCTTTCGCTATACCTAAAAGTTAGTTGTATCCACATAAGTCCATCCTTGCAAGCGTGCTGTCTTGGCGTCATCCTAGATTCTGGCCGCACATCCAGTATGTTGTCAAATCCTGTAGATTCCATCTTAAAAACATAGCCCGCATCTGCCCCTTTCTTATGCAAGATGCAACCAAGGAGCTTTTCCATGCTCTAGTAATTTCCCGCATGGATTATTGTAACCCTCTCCTAATTGGTCTTCCCAAATGCTGTATTGCCCCGCTACAGTCTGTAATGAATGCTGCTGCCAGACTCTCTAGTAGGTCCTCTCACACCTCACCCTTCTGTCAGTCCTTACATTGGTTTCCTGTATAGGAGTCAATTCAAAGTGCTAACCCATACCTATAAAGCACTGAACAATTCTAGCACCTCTTATTTCTCTTCACAGATCCATAGGTATGCCCCTCCTTGTTCCCTCTGCTCTGCCCGTGACCACCTCCTGACCGCTGCTCACACCCATACGCAGTGGCGGATCCAGAGTCTGATCTCGGGAGGGGCACTTTTATATTATTTAAAGAAATAATCCATGCACAATAACCACTACAGCTCCGTGTAGTGGTTATGGTGTCGGGACCCCCTCCCAGAGTAAGTAGTCAAACCGTTTAAGAACAGTTTGACAACTTACAGTGTATGTGTGTGTGGGGGCAGTGTATGTGTATAGGGGGGGCAGTGTATGTGTATAGGGGGGGCAGTGTATGTGTATGTGGGGGGCAGTGTGTGTGTGTGTGTGGGGAGGCAGTGTGTGTGTGTGTGTGGGGAGGCAGTGTGTGTGGGCTGTTTATGGGGAGCAATGTGTGAATGTGTGGTTAGGAGGGTAAGGGGGCTTTTTGATAAAAATAAATAATGTATAAAATGAAATAAATGTATGTCCCCCCTCCCTACTTACCTTTACTGGGAGGAGGGGGGGCATATTTCGATCCCTGGTGGTCCAGTGGTCAGAGTGAATTCTAGCCCGCGCTCCTGGGCTAGAGTTCACTTTCGCGAGATTTGGAGCGTTTCCGTGGTAACCGCGGCATCGCTCCATGCTCGCGAGAGGAGGACCCGGAGGAGCTGCAGGCTGAGCTCCCGTGTCCTCTTTCCCTCCCCTGCCGGCTGCCAGCACGGTGCCTGCGGACCAGGGATGGAGATCTGTGATTTCCCCTCCGGTCCGCAGGCACATTGCAGGGCTGGCACTTGGACAATGCCAGCCCTGCATTAGCCGGCAGGGGAGAATCTCAGGGGGGAGGGGCAATTGCCCCGTGGCCCCCCCCGATCCGCCAGTGCCCGTACGGCTAACTAGCGCTTGCAGGACTTCTCGCGGGCAGCTCCCTTCCTATGGAATAGCCTGCCTACCCCCAGACTCTCCCCTAGTCTTCAATCGTTTAAGAAGTGCCTTAAAACCCATCTCTTTAGGAAAGCTTATGGCCTCCCACAGTAACCTCTACCTTACATACCTGTCTCTTGCGCTCTCCTATAGGGCAGCACTTTACTCTCTCCTCCAGCTCTGCTTCTCTCCCACCTTATTTGATTGATAATTTCCTTTCCTAATGTGTTTTACACCCCACCTCCTATAGACTGTAAGCTTGTTTGAGCAGGGTCCTCTTCAACCTATTGTTCCTGTAAGTTTTCTTGAAATTGTCCTATTTATAGTTAAATTTCCCCCCCTCCCCCTCTCCATAATATTGTAAAGCGCTGCGGAATCTGTTATATAAATGGCAATAATAATATAAGCTTAATACAGATGAATAAAGTGATACTCTTACCTGTAAGCTGACGGCCAAGCTGTGCTGTCCTGTAGCACGACACCAAGGGCATACAGAACAAGCGTCTGTAATGAAGAATTGGTTAGTACATGGTTGTAAAGCTGTGGTAGAGACTGCACATATCATCTCCGCACTACATCTCTAAATTTGTTGTATAATCGAGTACTAAAACAGTGGACATGGAACCCGCTTTACTTTGATAACAGCAATGTCTATAGTATTCATCAGTCTAAAATACATATAACAAAATTATAAAAAAAAAAAAAAAAAGTGAAGTTACCTTTGCACAATCCCAAATAAAACTGCCATTAAAGTGTAAGCTCACCGGTGTCAAAGCAAACGTCTTACACTAAATATTTACTTTTAGACAGAAAGGGGTATATACTTATGAACCCCTACACATTATTAATCCCTAATAGGATACACATGGGGTGGGTGGCAGCACTGTAACATGGCTGTGTAATATAGAAGCAAATGACACACCTAAATAAAACCTGCGCTCAGACTCCCACTACTCTTAGGCAACCCCAGCAATTCATCAGCTCAAATACATGTAAGAAAATCAAAAAGGTTACTAACTATCCATAATCCCTATGCCCATTTAAATAACAATTCCAGTGGCACTAAACGCATCTGTCATTTTAGTTCACTTTTACTGAGCGCTTGGAGAATCCTACCTCTTTGGGAATAAGATGTTGGTCTACCCTTCCTTCTAACTCCTGTAGTCGAGCAGAGATAGGAGTGAGACTAGCTGTGCGCACGGTCTCACACAGCACCTGGCGACAGTAGCTTTAAAGGAAAAGAAAAGAATAGTTACGGTTTTGTAAATCAGAAAAAGATGTAATTACTTGAAGAATTTTTCTTTTCTTTTTTTTTTACCTTGTGGGCTCCTTAGATGTTGGATAAATAAATCATTAAATCCATTAAAACATTATGATACATGCCTTAAATTAAGCATCTTAAGTAAAGGGACCATCTAACACAATCACTTCTTCTTAATAAAGATCTGAGATAGGGCATGGTTTACATTTCACAATGCCCACATTTCTATTGGCGATTAATCATGTAGGGCGGTGTGCATATAACCAAACAATGACCGATCATGGTAAAACCAAACGTCAAACGAGAGAAGACAGTGATGATCAGAGGACAGAAGGACAATGGAGGAAGAGGACAGAGAATAAGCACTTGCACTGTATACAGGAATACCCCACTTTAAGTACACAATGGGACCAGAGCATGTATGTAAAACGAAAATGTACTTAAAGTGAAGCAATACCTGTTTTTACTTCCCAATGCATGTACTGCATTGCAATAGTCATTTACATTCATAACTGATACTGCAGATTTCCAGTGATTTTATTTAGTGATTTCCAGTGGGCTTTTATTCAGTTAAAACAAACAGTAAAAAGAGAAATTTGTATTTGTTAGCTGCTTATTCACACACTTTGTTTAGAAACACCTCTTCATCACTTTAACCCCTTAAGGACTGAGCCAAATGTACACATTGTGAACAAAACAAAACGTAAACAAAACCTGGCATTTGCGCTACATGTCTGTCCAACCGTAATACACCTCTTTCATATTAAATGCAGCCACACTTATTATATCATTTTATTCAGGGGAAACAGGGCTTTCATTTAATTTAATATGAAGAAAATAAGAAATTTAGTTATTTTTTTTAGTTCTACATGACATTGTAACTGTCAATGTCATAATACTGTTTGCTTTTACTGCAATAAAATACACATATTTGTATTCAGCAAAGTCTCACGTGTAAAACAGTACCCCCTATGTACAGGTTTTATGGCGTTTTGGGAAGTTACAGGGTCAAATATAGCACATTACATTTGAAATTGAAATTCGCCAGATTGGTTACGTTGCCTTTGAGACTGTATAGTAGCCCGGGAATTAAATTTACACCCATAATGGCATACCATTTGTAATAGTAGACAACCCAAGGTATTGCAAATGGGGTGTGTCAAGTCTTTTTTAGTAGCCATTTGGTCACAAACACTGACCAAAGTTAGCGTTGGTATTTGTTTGTGTGTGAAAAATGCAAAAAACGCCAATTTGGCCAGAGTTTGTGACTAAGTGGCTACTAAAAAAAGACTGGACAAGCCCCATTTGCAATACCTTGGGTTGTCTACTATTGCAAATGGTATGCCATCATAGGGGTAATTTTCATTCTTGGGCTACCATAGGGTCTCAAAGGCAACGTAACCAATCTGGCGAATTTTAATGTGAAAAAATGAAACGCAAGCCTTATATTTGGCGCTGTAACTTTTGAAAACACCATAAAACCTGTACATGAGGGGTACTGTTGTACTCGGGAGACTTCGCTGAACACAAATATTTGTGTTTCAAAACAGTAAAAAGTACCGCAGCAATAATATCATCCGTGTAAGTGCTGTTTGTGCGTGAAAAATGCAAAAAACTTCACTTTTACTAGCGATATCATCGTTGTAATACATTTTACTGTTTTGAAACACTAATATTTGTGTTCAACGAAGTCTCCCGAGTAAAACAGTACCCCCCATGTACAGGTTTTATGGTGTCTTGGAAAGTTATAGGGTTAAATATAGTGCTAGCAAATTAAATTCTCCATACTTTCGGCATGGGTTGTCAGGCAGGTCCCGCTAATTGTAATTAATTAAGATACCTAATTATGCAAACATATTTCATAAATATATATGTAGAATTAATATATAACATTTTTTACAAATATTTTTATTTATATATAGGTATATATACATATTTATGTATATAGATATATATTATTTTGTTGTATGTGTATTTTCATATAAATATATATATTAATATCACAATACAGTTAGAACGAAATAACATTTATATATAAAACATCTATATATTTTATTTATTTTTAATAATTTTTTAAGTTTTAACGTATTTACATTTTTAAAAATATTATACATATAAAAACAATATATATATATTTAATCAGTATCAGTCTACGTGTAATTTGATATTAATATATAATTATATATATATTAATAGTAAAATATACATAGACAGTGTATTTGTGTGTGTGTGTGTGTGTGTGTGTGTGTGTGTGTGTGTATGTATGTATGTATATATATTATTATTATTAATTATGATATTTATAGAGCCCCGTCAAATTCCGCAGCAGACATGTAGTTGTAACCAGACAAGTTGGACACACAGGAACAGAGGGGTTGAGGGCTCTGCTCAATGAGCTTATATGCTAGAGGGAATGGGGTAAAATGACACAAAAAGGTAAGGATAGTATTAGACTAGTGACAGTTGCAGAAGAGGAATCAGTCAGGAGCTATTAACAGTTTAATTAATAAGTTTTTATGAAGAAGTGAGTTTTTAACGATTTTTTGAAGGAGTGGAGACTGGGTGAGCATCTAACGGAGGAGGGAAGCGAGTTCCACAGGAATGGTGCAGCCCTCGAGAAATCTTGAAGGTGAGCATCAGAGGTGGGAGTACGGACAGAAGATAGCCGTAAGTCCTCAGCAGATCGTAAGGCCTAGACGGGACATACTTGTGTATAAGGGAGGATAGATAGGTGGGAGCAGCATTATGTAGAGATTTGAAAGCAAGAACCAGAATTTTAAATTGAGCTCTATATTTTATAGGAAGCCAATGTAGGGACTGACAGAAGGGTGAGTCATGGGAGGTGCGGGCGGACAGGAAGATGAGCCTCGCTGCCACATTCATTATGGACTGTAACGGCGCTAGTTGGGAGCACGTAAGACCGCAGATTACAGCAGTCAAGGCGAGAAAGGAATATATATATATATATATATATATATATATATATATATATATATATATATATATATATATATATATATATATATATATATATATATATATATAATAATTTTTTTTTACACTGATTTTAAATTTTATTTTCAGCCAGCAGGGGGACTGTCATTACAGGCAGTGCCCCTGCTGGCAATGCAGCAGCCAGCTAACCCGGCCATGTGATTGTGAGGTCCTCGCAAGGACCTCACTCTCACATGGCTGGGGGGGGGAGCCGGAGGAGGCAGGATTTACCGCGGGGGACTCCCTGGGATCCCAGGTGAGTCTCCCCAAGCACGATCGCCGGCGACCGGGTAAGTAACAAAAAAACAGAGGGCATACTATTACGCCCTGCGGCGCTTAGAGACGCTTAGAATGAGGCGTAATAGTACGCCCTCCGGTTTTAAGTGGTTAAGCAGTTATGGTTTAACTTTGAATCCTCAGAATTGTGGCTAATGCAGCTAAGCTGCTAAGCCATAGTTATAGAAAATGGCAGGGTAAACCCTTTCACTGGATGGCAGTCGATTGCAGAATATCGACAATACAGGGGCAGAAAAAATATATATATGTTCAGCTTGGAGTAGGCATTATAAATTTTAGATGACTAATCTGTGCCATGTCAGAAGGTGTGAAAAGTTCTTGCTCCAAAGACACTGAAATGAGCTTCTCCGGGCGAGAATAGAACCTTCCATTTCCTATTCACTCGTGGGCAGAAAAGGCGCGGGAATGTCTGTACTCGCAAGGCACCTTTAAGTACACTCGCAGGTATGTCTGTACTCGTGAGTGTATTTAAAGTGAGTGTATGTAAAGCGGGGTATGCCTGTATTAGCTTTTTCAGACAAATTTGGTTACCTACCTATAATTACCAAATATACACAGTCATATAACAAGACTCCTTTGGTTGATTGGATATGCAATTATTTAGATAACTGTACATTTAAGCATACATTAGAGTCCTGCTATATGACTATATAATAGGTAATGATATTAAGGTAACCATATATTTCTAAAGAAATCAAGAGAGCACAAAACAAATTATGGGACAAGGCAGCAACCTAAATCTGTAGAAGTCTACATTCCGACTTCTGAGTGAATAGCAGGGTAACAAGCTCATACTGATCATACGCATACTGCACTGAATTACCCTTTGTGCATTCTTTATTGTGTGTAAATGTACTTTAAGTGTTTTAAATAAACATCTGTTGATATGTATTATTCTGTGGGAGTTGTGTGTATCCTCATTATCCGATTGAGAAGATAAAGATGTGAACACATTATAAATCAGAATATATATATTGAATATTTAATAGAAAATGATCAGTCTCCTCTGAGAGTGTTATTCATTAAGGGTGTGATATGCAGTCGTATAGATTCAAAATATTGCAGTACATTTCCAATTCCTCCCCCCCCCCAAATCGAATATAAAGTTTGTTTATGCTTTAGAATGTTATCATACACCCTCAGACGCTTTGATCTAAAGCAAAGTTCATGTTTTCTAGCCTTTCCTTATATGGAAAATCTTCCATTCCATTTATTAACGGCAGCATGCACGGAGAGCATGAATTTGCACCAACCTCAGCTGCTCGATTTTCTCCAAAGTGATGGGTCCCTTCCCAAGTACTCTGGTCACCTCCTTGTAAAGCTTTTCTTGGACCGGCTCGGATGTTGTCAAAAAGTATATTGCCCATGTACACACTGCAAAACACAATCATTCAATGGGAAGTTTGACATGTGTGTAACAATATATTCTTAAAAACCCATTCAGCTCAAAGACTAAAAATAGCATTCCACCACAATACGTAAAAGCTTATTAAAAAGGTGTATTCCTTCTTTCTATTGATACGGCTGCTCTCTCTATAGGGAATTGCAATTGTTTTTGTTCAAGTTCCTGTTATCATTGTTTTCAGCTTGGAGATGATTAAAACATAACATTTACTATACAATCCAGCAATATATGACCCTGTTCTAAGACAATTGGGAAATCAAGAATAGAGACAAGCTTGATATCATGCAGAGTTCCTAGGGTCAGTAACATGGACCCGTTTCGCTATGCAATCTCTTCCTAAAACGTAGAGCTTAACACTATAACGCTAGGAGTACAAATGTGTATTCCCAACTCTATAGTGCCCTAGTCACCTTTTAGGTGACCGGGACACGCAGCTCCCTTACTGCACTGGTCTCTGGCATGCAACTTCTCCTGTTTGGCTGAGATCGATGATCTCAACCTTTACCCATAGGAAAGCATAGCTAGTGCCTTGTTCCGACCAGAAGGTATCTCTGAGACCATCTGATTGAAATAGTGGAGTATTTCATGGAAGAACCGGCGGTGGCTGTCAGCTAGTAGGTTAACCCTGCAATGAAAACTATTTTCAGTTACATGGTTGAAACAGTGGGGGTAGTGGGCATGACACCCAGACTACTTCACTGAAATAAAGTGGTCTGTATGCTTATAGAGTCCCTTAAATGTGTCAATAGAATGCATAACTGACAAACCCCAGGATATTTACATATAGTTTAAAAATTACATTGGTGTATTTTTTTCAAATTAAAATCTTGTAAAATTAAGGCATTACTGAGCATTTAACAATCACAACGTTATGTTTATGTAAATGTTTTTATATTTTACACAATCGGAGCTCCCAGATAAGATGTAGCATTCTTGCGGCACTGTTAGACATCCATTACTTACAGTTTGCAGTGATCACGCATCCTGCCAAAGAGAAGATCATACTGTCTTCAAGAACCTAAAAAAACGAAACAAAAGAAAGTAGTAATATACACCATAACAATTCTGTACTATGAAAAAAAAATTAGATTTTATTTTAACTAGCGCCCTTTTGAATTTCTTTAATTTAACAGACAAGTTATTTATATGGAACAGGTTCAATCTTAGAAGTTTGGCTGCCTCGACCTTTATTCTAAGTGGTCCCACAATTTCTTTTAAACTTGTGTGGTATGTTGAAATTTGACAATGAGATTAGATAGGCAAGTGAGTAAACTTTACTGCATGTTTATCATGAACATATTCTTCTCATAAGGTTCTCTGAAGCTGATGGTAATGGAAGTGGGAAATCTATTATACAAATATGAGGATATAATCTCCTTTAAATCTGTTCAATTCATGTCAATAGGAGGATCTACACTATCCAAGTGATGCTGGTTCCATGGTGTAATGGTTAGCACTCTGGACTCTGAATCCAGCGATCGGAGTTCAAATCTTGGTGGAACCTTTCCTTTAGATAGCATTAATCTTAAGAAGCTTATATGTCAATTGGTCTGCGTGAAAAATAGTTCACGTCAAACATTTTCACAACAAGAGGACATAGTCTTAAATTAGAGGGACAAAGGTTTAACAATAATATCAGGAAGTATTACTTTACTGGGAGGGTAGTGGATGCATGGAATAGCCTTCCAGCTGAAGTGGTAGAGGTTAACACAGTAAAGGAGTTTAAGCATGCGTGGGATAGGCATAAGGCTATCCTAACTATAAGATAAGGCTAGGGACTAATGAAAGTATTTAGAAAATTGGGCAGACTAGATGGGCCGAATGGTTCTTATCTGCCGTCACATTCTATGTTTAAAATGTTGAGATCCTGCAAATGATTGAAATAAAAAATAAACTATGACAATTCCGACAGCAATGGACACAAGTTTGGTGAAGATCTCTGAGTGGATGGAGACATTTCTAAGTCTACGTTTGCGCTGGTGGAATAAGTCCATTTAACTACTGGAACTATGATTTATGGATCCCCATATATGTTACACCTACTAAGTCAATAGAATGATGGAATGCAACTTTTTTAATGCGTGTCTGCATCTCTCCTGCTCACCGCAGATGAGGAGTTCCATTCTAACAAGCAGCAATGCTATTGCATATCACTAAGCTACTTAGTTACTGACCGTCACTAAATCATAGATCCTTGATCTCTGGAGGCAACACACAGATCAGACATTCCAGGAATGTCTTGCACAAGTAGATGTTATGGGAAAGGAGGTGCTACTGCCTTAGGGACAAATAATTCCAAACACTATCACAACAATTGGGGTACTTGTTTGGACTAATTAGCAAAACGTGTTGGGGATGGAATTAGCCATACAGGTGCCGAAGAGACATAGATTAAGATTTTCTTTTAATTTTAGAGAACTTGCTTAGATGGGAGTCTAAAAGCACAAATGCAATCTATACTCCATACCAATACTACATCCCTCCATTACTTTACCCTGTGTCTCTGTGTATATACAGGTGATACTCGAAAAATTAGAATATCGCGCAAAAGTTCATTTATTTCAGTAATGCAACGTAAAAGGGGAAACTAATATATGAGATAGACGCATTACATGCAAAGCAAGGTAGTTCGAGCCGTGATTTGTTATAAGTGCGATGATTATGGCTTACAGCTCATGAAAACCCCATATCCACAATCTCAGTAAATTAGAATATTGTGAAGGCTCACAATGTGCAATATTCTAGTGTCCCACTCTAATCAGCTAATTAAGCCATAACACCTGCAAAGGGTTTCTGAGCCTTTAACCCCTTAAGGACCAAACTTCTGGCATAAAAGAGAATCATGACGTCACACATGACATGTGTCCTTAAGGGGTTAAATGGTCTCTCAGTCTGGTTCAGTAGGAATCACAATCATAGGGAAGACTGCTAACCTGACAGTTGTGCAGAAAACCATCATTGACACCCTCCATAAGGAGGGGAAGCCTCAAAAGGTAATAGCGAAGGAAGTTGGATGTTCCCAAAGTGCTGTATCAAAACACATTAACAGAAAGTTATGTGGAAGGGAAAAGTGTGGAAGAAAAAGGTGCACAAGCAGCCGGGATGACCGCGGCCATAGAGGATTGTCAGGAAAAGGCCATTCAAAAGTGTTGGGGACTTTCACAAGGAGTGAACTGAGGCTGGAGTCATTGCATCAAGGGCCACCACACACAGATGGATCCTGGACATAGGCTTCAGATGTTGTATTCCTCTTGCCAAACCGCTCCTGAACAACAAACAACACTAAAAGCGTCTTACCTGGCTAAAGAAAAAACAGACCTGGTCTGTTGCTCACTGGTCCGAAGTCCTCTTTTCTGATGAGAGCAACTTTTTGCATCTCATTTGGAAACCAAGGACCCAGAGTCTGGAGGAATAATGTAGAGGCACACACTGCAAGATGCTTGAAGTCCAGTGTGAAGTTTCCACAGTCTATGTTGATTTGGGGAGCCATGTCATCTGCTGGTGTTGGTCCACTGTGCTTCATTAAGTCCAGGGTCAACGCAGCCGTCTACCAGGAGATTTTGGAGCACCTCATGCTTTCTTCCGCAGATGAGCTTTATGGGGATGCTGACTTCATTTTCCTTGGCACCTGCCCAAACTGCCAAAAGCACCAAAGTCTGGTTTAATGACCGTGGGTTACTGTGCTTGATTGGCCAGCAAACTCGCCTGACCTGAACCCCATAGAGAATTTATGGGGCCTTGCCAAGAGAAAGATGAGAGACATGAGACTGAACAATGCAGAAGAGTTGAAGCCCGCTATTGAAGCATCCTAGTCTTCCATAACACCTCAGCAGTTCCACAGGCTGATAGCTTCCATGCCACGCTGCATTGAGGCAGTAATTGCTGCAAAAGGGGCCCAAACCAAGTACTGAGTCCATATGCATGCTTATACTTTTCAGAGGTCCGATATTGTTCTATGTACACTCCTTGTTTTATTTATTGCATGTAATATTCTAATTTACTGAGATTGTGGATTTGGGGTTTTCATGAGCTGTAATCCATAATCATCGCACTTATGACAAATCACCGCTTGAACTATCTTGCTTTGCATGTAATACGTCCATCTCGTATATTAGTTTCCCCTTTTACGTTGCATTACTGAAATAAACCATTGCACGATATTCTAATTTTTCAAGAATCACCTGTATATTGTTATTAAATAAAACTGACTAAAGATGGACTGCATTGCATTAGCAGAGCTGCACAAGTATTCCCAGCAGAAAACGTAAGAATATCCAAGTCAACAACCTACTAAAAAGGCCGGCATCTATAGATACCACCCATTGATTAAGGATTGGTAAAGGATTTTACAATGAACCTTCACTCCTATGTAACTAAACATTACGTACCTGCTTGTCACTGAGTTTCCCTTGCAGCAAGGAGTCTATAAAGACATGGCGCCCAAGGTTCTTTCCTCTGCGCTCCTTGATGGCTTTCTTAACTACAGTTTCCATCTCCAGCAGAGCTTAAAAACAGAAGACAAAATGTTGTGCAACATGGTCCCACTAGCATAACCTCATATTCACATGAATTACTGTAAAATCCAGCTAAGTGGGTAAAAGTAGCCGGAGAACATTGCCAAACCTGCATAGAGAGTTAAATAGAACTCAACATAAAAACTTCACACGAAGGACTACAAATCCCTGATGTTTTTAAATGGGATATTACAGCAAATTGTGAGAAGTCCTAAAGTCGGTAAAGATACAGTCATTCAGGATAACTGCACTTGTTTGAACATGCTTCCAGTGCACTCCCTATGGCGACAGTATTTGGTGTTGTACTTTGCAGCACAATGGAAACAGGTCTGAGGGTTGAGCAGAGAAAGGGGGGAAAAGATGATGATTGTGTTATGTTTCTCTCTCTAGTGCAATATAGAACCTTGGATTTAAAGCAAACTTCAAGCATCCCAGCAACTTACAATCCTTTGGATGGTTTACAGTGCTCTCTCGGCTAAGGCTTAGAACTGTAGCAAGTTGAAAAAAAGCACTGTAGTAATAAGTCAACCCTACTCAAATACACCACAGAAGGAACGTAGGCTTTTGCTTGGCTGTACAAGAATTTGTATGGTGTGTGTCTGCAGGCCGGGTGACTGCTATACATGTGCTCTCCTCTTCGATATCTATGAGGCAGTCTGTGCTAAAGTGGTTCACATTTCTACTACGTTACATTATACTATTTAATGTCAGAGCAATCCTTTTCACCAGGGCATTTTCCATTCCAATCCATTATAGGACCACTCCCAGACCACCTTATCTCAATGAAGTAGTCTGGGTGCAGTGGTCCTGTTGTCTTTTCAGCCTTCAATGTGAAACATTGCAGTTTTATAGATACAGCAATGTTTTCATTGCAGGGTTAACACACCGCTGGTGGTTGTCTTCCTTCGCTGAATAACCGAGTCAGATTTGATTATTCAATCAAATGCTGCTCATAGAGAACATTTTGTTGACATAGCACGGCGGGCCCACTCGTCTCCCAAATGCATCCAAATGAGGTAACATTGTATTGTCTGAGATCATCAAGATTGATGACCTAAGTTTCGAAAGTGGGGTGGAAGGGCGAAACCCGCGAGCTGCAGGATAAATGGCAATAAAAATCTTTTATTTATTTTTTTTTGGCAATCTTTATTTTGTAATTTTTTCTTTTGGGAAACATGTAACAGTCAGGAACATTAAAGTATGTCAGAGTCAACATCTGTGTCCGTATAAAGTACAGTAATAATAAGCATTACTCATATAACATTTGGTTCTTCATAATATACAGGCCTGGGTTCAAGTAAGCTGCGGCAGCGTTATCGGGCCTTACACCGTCATTAGGGTATCTTCATGGGTGTGTACCGCCCCAGTGTACATAATTGTGTCATTACCTCCCTGGTGAAGTAACATGTAGCTGGTTCATATCAAGTGCATTAATCCTTGCGTAAAAATAGTTATATATCTTTTAGTGTTAGTATCTAGTTTACTACCAAAGTGTTTGCGATGTGTCAACTTCGGGTGCGGTGAGCACCTTGAGGGTCAGTGACCCATATTTTAGCGATTTATGTTGTGTTCCTGCAGTCGCCTACTTGCTATCAGACCAGTGTTTTCGGTTTGTGCAGGCAATTTGAATCCGTGCTGTTGTCTGTTTTACTTAAAGCTGGGGTGTTCGTCGTAAGTGGAGTATACAAGCACCTGTCTGGTCTTTTATCTGATGGATTGTGAGTTTGGGGGATTGTGTGTGCCTGTCAGGTCGTGCCTGTGTCCCTTTACAGTTGTCTCCCATTTCCCCTACTTTGTCTCTCATTCTACAGCTTGTGCGGAGTTCTGAGGTTATGGCTCTTACTCAGGCTTGTGACTTTGTTCAGGTATTGTAGGTGTAGCCGTCGTGACTCTGTCTAGGTTTGACCATCTGGTTTGTGTTGTCTGTCCCTTTGGGGGTCTCATTATGCTAGTAACGTGGGTCTGTCTGCGTGATCACATTGTCTCTCTTCTGTCTAAACTAATCCTTGGAGATGTAGTCCGATGTCTGCGGCAGGGGGTTGGGTGTGTGTGTCCCGGGCACCCGGGGTTCCCTGCTGTGTTGTGTTTGGGGCGGCTGTCCTTTTGGCTATGTATGTTACCCATGGGTACCAGGTCAATGTGCACTGCTCCGGTCTCCCATGTAGATTGGCAGTGAGAGTTTCCATGGAGTGTATGTCCTCTACCTTTGTCACCCATTGCTGGAGGGTGGGAGGTAAATATATATTTTTTAACCCGTACAGGGTTCCAAACATCTAGATAGTGAGGTGAACTATATAGCATTAGGAATACATGTTTGTGTCCCTTCAAGGAACTTCCCAAAATAGTGATTAAAGTTTTCAGTGAATGCTACAGATGGAAATATATTTAAAACGATAAGATGTACAGGGGCCTCTGGTGTCTCCTTACATTACTGTACCTGTTAATAGTGTAAACTTAACTTGAAACACCATATCTGATGCTGTTTAAATAAACACATGGCTTATTCAGCATCTCTTTTATCACAGTATATACAAATAAAACATACCATCTTCATAAAGCTTTTTGCGATTCGGACTTCTCTCAATTGACCCATCCAGGAAACCCTTTCCAATCTCTGACCATATCTGAAATCAGTAAAAATGCAGTGAATCGTAAACAGAAAAGTAATTCCATGTAACTCAATAAAATCACAAGAAGTAATTAGAAACCAGCTGCATGCTTAAGGTTATTGCTGCCCGTTCAGAGTATGCAAAGTGTCAGCACTTCCTGTAGAACTGGGAGAATAGAATCAATGTGATGGAAGGAGATAGAGATGTGGGTGACAGCACACTAAACACAATCTATAGAACATTTGTGAATGAAGAAATGAGGTTATAATAAGGCAAATCAATTCTTCCTGGTAGTAAATGAAAATGGACTGAGGCGCAAGAAATAAATATGAACAAAATGTACAATAAGCTAAACTTGAATTGGGAATCATGGAAATCAATTTGTGTAGGCCCGAGGTCATCAACTAAAGCTGCAGCAGGCAACCATCAGCACTCCAGTTGTTATGGACTGTATCACAGCAGAGCTCTTAGTTAGCTCTATAAAACGTGAGTGCATTACCAGCACAAATCTACTTATATGTTGAACTTTATTTGTACTATTATTTGTCTTCTTTTTTTTGTTCTTTCGGAGGTTTGCAATATTGAAATATCTTGTAAGGTATATATTCTCACTCTTATTGCAAAAAAAAAAAAAAAAATTCCTTTCGCACTGTGTTTTCTTTGTTTTAAGATAAAATGTTTTGCGAATTCCTGTACTATTCACTGCTGCCTAAACTATTTTATTATAGTGACCGCCTATAGCAATACCTTTTTCGTCAGAGCAGATGATAGACAAATGTGCCACCCAGGACAGCTGGTATCTGATACGTTTAGACTAAGAACCAGAACAGATAAGTAAAAGAATCCAATCTGCTCCTTTATATGTTCCACTGAAACCCATTATTTTTGAAGTGGAGCAATATGAGCTACTGCAAATACCCCTGCAGATGATTCCGTTTGGCTTGCTACTTACCGTGTCATGATTCCTGCGGAAACGGAGTACTTCCTGGTCATCCTCAAAGCTACCTCCCATTGCTATCTGGGTGATGGACTTCATTGCAAACCCTAGCATGTGTTGGCACAAGGGAACATGCTGGGACTGTGGGTAAGAGCTCCATTTCGCCAGCAACTCCTCTGACAGCTGAAAGGGGCATTAGGAAAAAAAAAAGCCTTAAGGACATTGTTCGTTTAAGGGTTTAAAACATTTTTTTAATTTAAAAAATTACTTTCTAAAGTTTAGAATAATGTCACTGGTTTTTCTCAATTCGTTATTTTACGCTTAGAGAGAAGGCATGTGATCACATAGTTGACAGATAGGTCACAGCATGACAATACAAACTACAAAATCAGTGTAAAGGGTAGCGGAAGCAAGCCGCCTGTACAGCAAGCTATTGATGACTCTTGACAAATAAATTAACAAGTAAAAGTGGCAATTATATAATCTGCTTCTGGTTAGCATTTGCCTCCAAGATCCTCGAGAGAGTTGTGTACGCCAGATTGACAGACTTTCTCGAATCCAACTCTCTGCTTGACCCCCTTCAGTCTGGATTCCACGCTGGTCACTCTGTCGAAACTGCTGTGACTAAAGTATCCAACGATTTAATTGCTGCTAAATCTCGCGGCCAATACTCTATCCTAATCCTCCTTGATCTTTCTGCCGCCTTTGACACTATTGATCGTCAACAGCTTCTTCACATTCTCCGTAACTTTGGTCTACGGGATACTGCTCTCTCCTGGTGCTCCTCCTACCTCTCCCAGCGCTCCTTCAGTGTTTCTTTCTCTGGCTCTGCCTCTTCTCCCCAACCCCTCTCTGACGGCGTCCCCCAAGGTTCTGTCCTCGGCCCCCTACTGTTCTCTGTCTATACTGCCTCCCTTGGTAAACTCATCAGCTCCTTTGGCTTCCAAGATCATTTATATGCAGATGACACGCAAATCTACCTGTTCTCCCCTGATCTCTCTCCACCCACCTTGACTCGTGTTTCTGACTGCCTCTCCGCCATTTCCAACTGGATGGCTGCTCACTTCCTTAAACTTAACCTGTCCAAAACAGAACTTCTGATCTTTCCTCCCTCAAGTGTTACTACTCCTGTGTCTGTCTCCCTCCAAGTCAACGGCGCTACTATCACCTCTACCTCGCAGGCTCGCTGCCTAGGGGTTCTTTTTTATTCTGACCTCTCTTTTACTCCTTATGTCCAATCGATAGCCAAATCCTGTCGCCTTCAACTCAAGAACATCAGCGCTATGGAATTTGTTGGCGCTATATAAATAATAATAATAATAATAATAATAATAATAATAATACAGATGAACGCAGTTCACGTATCACTGAAGTAACAGAGGTTATCGTGGGCTTGAACATGCAGAGACAGGTGAACCGACAACTGGTTTTATAAGGAAGGCAGTGAGGCTGGTCCCACTCTCTAAGGGTTTTTTGAATAATGGAGAGAAGAAACAGTACAGAAGGAAAGGTAAAAGGAGAGAAAGAGAAGTGTCAGGAAGCTAAGAAGAAAAGGACACAGAGAGGAAAGGAAGAATGACATCACTGGCAGGACAGGACTAGGAAAAGGGAATGTATTGTAGGCCTCGTTGCTCCTAGGAGCAGAGCCAACCTCCTAATAAAGGCGTGGGGTGCATCAGTGAGGCCCGGGTAATTTGTCGAGGAGGCAGCTATGTCCCAAACGCCCCTCCTGTCCCTTACTTTGTCTCGGAGTACCCCTCCCAGGGTTCCAAAACCTTTGTGAAAGACATTATGGTTCCCCTCCCCTGAGCAGTTAGTCCAATACGTAGTTATCTTTCAGTTTAAGGAGCACTGTTGTCATTGCGGGTGCGGTTCATTAAAACCAGGTTTGGGCAAGGGCCTTCTGGCTACTAACATGTGTTTGTTGAGTAGTGCCTGTTCTGCTCTAGCCCAGTAGTCTTGTAGGACTCATCCTGTAGGTTCATACATATGAAGGTTTTGCGGTTTGCCTTCCAAATATCTTGCCAGTATGTTCCCTCTAGTCCTAATCCTGCTTTCCTTTGGTCAGTGTAGTTTAGTCTACCCCAGTCACATAAATGTGTGTATGTAGTAGTAATTAGTCCCAGTCTGTAAAACTCAGCTTCAAAAAAGTGTTCGAAAAAGGCGAGTTGTGTCTGGGCTGCTTTTTTAATGTGTGATTGGCAAGCAAAATCAAGTCTTTGTATATATCTAAAGAAGTCTGTTAGCTTAAAGTTCTGTGAAGGCAATGAACATATCTCCTACATAAAACTGATGTATCCATTGCAGCCCTGCGTACTCAATGTATTTAAACTCTCTCGCCCTCATACCCGGTACGAAGAAATATGTCACCATTTCTAAACACCCACTAATATCTACTCATACTTTTTCATGTCACCAGACTGCACACAGATTATCATCAGAATAATCACCTATTATATCCAGCAAGGTATCGGAATACACTTAACTAAATAAATAAAAACAGGAGTCTTCATGGATTGTAAGGCATCAGAGCAGGAAATGCATTTGATTTCATCCTTTTTTGTCCAAAGAAGAGTTATCTCTCATTGCTTCACACATAATTTGGGGGGAGAGGGGTAGGAGGGGGCGCCTTGATAGAGGGGGATGCTATAGTGCCAGGAAAGCAAGTTTGTTTTCCTGGCATTATAGTTTCCCTTTAAGGTTATCAAGACATGGACTTCTCCTGCAGGAGAAGTTAGGTCACAGCATAGGTGCCCGGATGACCCATGGTTAAACAAATTACACTTCAAGGGGGCCAGGGCACTCCTGGCACCATAACCACTTCAGCATGCTATAGTGATTATGGTGCTTGGATTGTTCCTTTTACAGATTTTTAAAAAATCATCAGCACAATATAGGTAATTTTCAATAACAGTAAACCTTCCTTTTTATGTAGAAGTTTTGCAACAATACACTTAGAAATTCTCTTTGCACGACCTACGCAAATGTAAAGTTTTAAAATGTACATGATTACATGCAAAGATGACGGATCTAAAAGTGCAGTACCTTTACTATAGTGCTGAAGTTGCTTTGCAGAGCCTTGTTAATGCCGCTCTCGTACAGTTTCTTCTGCATATGATTCTCCGCAGCTTCACCAATGACTCCAGACTGATATCCCAGTAAGGATTTTAGCATCATTTGAAAAGGATCAGCTGTAAAGGGAAATAGATTAAAAAAAAAAAAAAATAGGACTCAATAGATCCCACCGAGTATCTGAATAGTTTTGGTTAACTCATTGTTGCCAAGCACTGTAGAGGAGACATTTTTAAACTTGCCCAGCTAGTAATCTAGAGCAAATTTTCAAGGAAATTTGTAGATTTGACACGTGAACTGCAATATTAGAAACAAAATTTCCAACTCCACTTTTATTTTTTAGCTATTTGGACAAAAACTGGCAAAATCTTTTTATTTTTTTTCTTCCATTATTCTTGGTGTAGGATCAGGGCCTGAGTGCCTCAGCCTATGGTCTACTGCAGCCGACGGTCTGGTTGTAGGGGGACATGGCCAATCTCCCGACTCCGGGCTCAAGCCTACCACAGGAGTTTGAGCAGCCCCCTCCCCCTGGACCGGCGGGGGATATCCCGGTCCCCTCTGGGTGCACCTACACCTCGGCAGGGTCGACAAGACAACTCATCCACTCTGAAACCGCATGGTCACCTAAGATGGCGGACGCGCTACACCCTCCACAAGTTTCAATGGCATGTCATGGAGGGAGTCCTTCGAGACTAACTTTGAGAGGATCTGTCAAGCATTCTGGCTCCGTTTACAAACCCGGGCACACCAGCCAACCTCCCATACTACTCCCGAAAACCTGGCGGCAACGGAGGCTACTCTACCTCCACCCGGGCGCAAGGCCTACTCAGAGCTGAAGCCAGCCCGACATCCTCAAGCCAAGAGGAGCCCCCAGCTTACCGTGGTAAGATCCTAGCAACGCTCATGGACATCTCTCCCTGCAGCAATGCCCAAGCCAGACCCACAGCGAGGCACAGCTGCGCCACGATTAGATGGGCGAGATCCAGACGTAGCATGGATGGGAAGAGCCAAAAGGCGGGAGCCTCTACATCAGCACCAATCTTGGCGACCCAATCCGGCTGGGAGCCAGGTGCTTTCTGGGCCATAGCTCATAATGGGTCACCCTCGCACCCACAGTTTGCACCCTCGGACGGACTCTCCTCAGCGGGCACATCAGAAGCCTATCACTCAGCCCCGACACCAAACCAAGCCTGCTAATCGAGATGAGACCTGGGATACAAGACTGCCATGGAACTCAGGGTGGGGGGCTTGTAGTTAGACTCATGTTCCCCAGGGTTGACAGTCTGCCATCAATCGGTATTGGTTAAGCAACCCCAGGAAGAAGCGACAAACCCCCTAATGCAAAGCTTTGCAGTATCTCTCTAAGGCAATGCAAATGTACAACACTGCATTTAGTTTTAGTGGAAATTGTGCTTTTATTTTTAGTTTGTATTACTATATGGTTTTACTGTTTTTTATTTTCTGGTATTACTAGGCTTCTCATCTAAATCGCCAGTATGTTTATATGCCAGTCAAGCTAAGGAAGCATGCTACCTACTGCTCATTAGCAGCTAATACCATGCTCAGCAATTACTAAGAATGTCTGGCCCTTCTTAGTTAGCAAGACAGGATAGCCTTCATGCACCTGTTACAAAACCTATATAACTGTGCTCCACCACTGAAACTTTGTACCCCTATATCCCACTCGGTATGCTTTTAGACACCAGGTACTCCCATAAGAGTAGCTTATCACATACAGGAGGGTAATGCTAGCTTAACCTTCATCTTAAAGTCTGCTACTACCATATTTTACAAGCCTAAGAACCCAGAGGCTACCAAACTCAAGAGTTAATCATAGTTAACCATAATTAAGCATGTTTTATAACTCTCTCCTTACTCGTTCAACTACATAAAAAAAAAAAATTAGGCATTACTATTTAGGAACGCTGTGATATTCCTATCTTGTATCTCACTCGTACATTTCCCTTTCTTTATTCTGTATTCCAACTCGCATGCCTTAATAAAAGATTGATAATAATTCTTGGTGTAATGATTAACCTCATTGGTGTTTTGCAAATAAATTACAAACGAGCTTATGTATGAACAGTAATTCTGATGCAAATTTCCAAAAGTACAGCAAACAACAGTAGCATCCCATTGGTTTCCATTTTAACCGCGCCACATTTAAAACTTTAGAAATTACTTCTAGAATTACTCTTTATAAATAACCCACACAGTGTCTTGCTCAGTGCGGACAAGTAAGAAAACTCACAAGTTTTGTTGGGGTTGATGTGCTGTCTTAACAAATCCAGAGAGCCCAGGCTGACCACAAGTCGACGGCCGAACCAGAAGGAAGCAACAGGTCCAAACTTCTCATGTAGACTGAATAAAAACTCATGGAGACTGCCTTTGCTAACAATGTCCTGGAGATTCCCATCTCTGACAAGGTAATCATTAAAAATGGTCAGCAATCAGGAGAAGAAATACTCTTAAAGGACTAAACAAAATTATAAAAATGAAACGGTAAAATCTCAAATACATTATTTTCCTATATGCAATCCCTACAATTTACTGAAAAAAACCCCCAATATGTACAGGTGTGCATTACCATATAGATAGCACAATATCTATAAACAGAAGTCTGTTCTTGTAGGGGAAAAGAACTACCAAACACTATGCATACCTGTTAAAATGTTACCAGTTACCACATTTAGCATTAATGTTCTCATGACACGATATGCATAACCTGAATGGCAGAATTCTGATATCCTTTTAGAATTACTAAGAAAATGAGCCCAGATCACTGACATCTAGGGTTATTTACTAAACCAAGAATTGTAGAAAACCAACATGGCAATTGCAAATTATAGACCAGATTAGCGTTCTTGAAAAATGTGCACATTTTTAGAATTTCTATGCATTTCTCTTGTCAATTCTCAACAAGTCCAAGTTTAGTGAATAACAACACAACACAAGTTAAATATTATTTTAGTTTGAGGCGCATTCTAAGCACCAAAGCATGACAACGTTAAAAAGCATTAAATTGGCTCTGTGAAAAGTATTTGATTCAGTGCTCTTCTATAGGCAAATCGTGTAATTGTGAGTAGATAGACTGCATTTTGGAGACTGTCCCAGTGATGGATTAAAGATAAAGATGTTTTGTTTTTTTTAATCTTGGAGGGAGTAACAGAAGAAACAAACAATCTACCATTGAAGAAAAATATATATCCATTTTTAATGGTAGAGTGTTCTTCTAAGTATCATTTTACTTAATTAAGTGTTCTTGCATAGCAAGACCACTTAATGTTGTTATCTCACATATATATTATTATTATTATTATTATTATTATTATAGCAAAATTTGCCACCCAAACTCCTCCCACAGTTTTTACACTACATAGACAAAAATTTACCAAAACGTGCAGATTGTTCCCGATCGGATTGCTATTACTTTGTGGAACGTTTCGCCGAATGGTTCACGGAATATCGTCGTTCTTGTGGCGAAATTTGTCCCATAGGAATGAATGGCAAAGCTAGAGTGGGAGCTGGCAAAAGCTGAAAAATCAGGACATGATTTCTAAACTGCCACCACTCCCTTATTTTCAGGCCCACCTACACAAATCTTATATCAAAACGTTCAGCTATCCCTGCTGCCACTAAACATGTCAACGGCTAAGCCGTAGTCCTGATAGTTTTCACAATATAATCATTTGTTTGCAACTAACGCCGTCCATTGACATTCATTGAAACTGCACTCTACAAAGCTCAAATTTGAAGTGCAATTTCTAAACTGCGACTGTGCCTTCATTTTTAATACTTCAGAGACATACTATGCATCAAAATGTAGGTCTGGGTCTTGTGATTCCCACACTATAAAGCTCTTCGCTGTAGGATTTAAAATACGACCGTTTGAAGATGGCAACCACCAAAATACTCTGACCTGTCAAGGCTGCAGCAGCAAGTGATGTCATAGACAGGGCCTTTTGAACACCTGCTAATGTTTTTTATAAATGTATGGTTTAATGTAACTGTGCAACAACGTTGCAATTAAATGTGCTATGTAAATGATAACAGTTACTCCGCCCACTCCAGTGGAGGCAAGAACACTTCACACAATTTCCCCAGAAATTGTAGCTTTTCTAGTTTAAAATAAAATTCATAGGAATGTGAAGTCAAATGCTTTCTTCAACATGTGCAGAAGTGAACGTGCAGGACATAATACAAAATTTAAGTTTTGAATAAGTGATGAATGGCATCTACCCAGAGGAATATAAATCCTGTTTTACCCTCAATGGACCAGAATGCACTGCGACTTAAAAAGTAATATGATAACATTTGGTACTATGCACATAGGTCGCCATCATCGCATTTTAAGGTTATTCTATGACACACACGCATGTCCTCCTATAAATATCATATAAATGTATGCAGGATGGATCGGGCCAATGTTGGTGTACGCTCTAGCATTCCTGCTGCCCGTAAGCACAAGATGAGGGGACAAAAAGAGGGCACACGGAAGTGGCGCACTGCTCTGTTGGACCTCTACCTACGTCATGGCTCATAGCCCAGAAAGGAGCCCTCGACAGAAGGTCTGGGGGGGGCTCTTTGTCACCCCTGGTATGGGACGAATGTATTGGCACATGCCAATATCTGTTGATTGCACTGTATAAATGAAGATTACGAACATGTCTTGACTTATAATGCAACCTAAGGTTGCATTCTTTACTGTTTACTACTATCCTTATTGTATGAAAAAGTCTAAATAAATACTAAAAAAAAATAAGTAATAGGATAACTTACTTCTCCTCTGTAGGTGCTAGGCCAGGGATCCCACATGCTTGTCTGGAAGACTTACATGAAAAACAAACAAAAAAAACAAAACAATAAAGAGCAAGTAAAATACTATGTTCCACGTATGTAGAAAGCATGGTAAAATCATCATATTTTCTGCAATATTAAAAAATTTCTAGCATAACTATTAAACAAGTGTAACAAAAAAAAAACAAACAAAAAAAAAACTTATGTTACACAAAAGGTATTCACTAAACGTAATTTTTTTTTCCTTCAAATTTGAGATCAAAACGGCAAAAGTGGGCCAAAAAAACGCATCTGAAAAAAAACGGTCCAACTTACCGATATTCCCATTTTGTTATTTTGCAATTTTGTGTTTCATTTACTAAAACTGAATATTTAGTGAAGAGACCCCACCATCTTACCACTGATTTATGGTATGTTAGTAACATACACATTCACCTTTCCAAGGAAGATAAATTCAGCTTAGTGCCATTTATGAAATAGAATCATTCATGCAACTTCTGGCAATTTTGGATTTTTAATTTCAACTAATCGAAAGATTCCTTCTACATACCACTTAAAAATAAATAGTAAGAGGAAATGCAAAAAATCGCTACAATACCCTATACCCCAAATTATAAGAAAATAAAACAAAATTAAAAAAAAAACAACAAAAAAAACCAAAAAACACACACACTAAAAATAAAATACAAGACACCAAATTGTACCAATATAACAAGTACCACTGTAAACAAGAAAATTGATGGCACACTATCAGACGGGCGAAGGGCAGATTATGCCAGATATCCCAATGCCAATCTGACAGGAATACCCCAGAGAAGACCCCTACACCTGTGCTGCCATACTGTCCCTTTAACTATCCATTCTTTCTGCACTATTCTACAAACAAGATGTCCCTACATAACATATAAATCCCAAGGATTTGCTAGAATCTGTCAGAGCTATTTACTAATGTGGAAATTAAAGAGAATTCTGAATGAATTTCCAAATTTAAGGCCACAATAGGCCAATTAGAGAAATTCTCCAGGTTTCCATTTCTGATACTTTGACTGAACATTCGAAATTCCCGTTCGAATTCCTGGTACTTTATTGAATAGCCCTGCATCCTGTGATACCCCAGGACCTGTTGCTGTTTGTGTACTCCATGTCCCAAATCCATGCAGCATCCCCCCATGCATGCAGAGCCCCCCAGTCAGTGCCAGGTTACCGGGTACAAGTACAGCACGGCCCCCACTAGGATCAGGAGGAAAGTGATGGCGAATATGGCGAAGTCCAGCATCCCAGCCCTGTACACGGTGGCCCAGCTGCAGGCCGCATATACCAGAAAGCCACTCTCCTAGCTCGGCCATCGACTCCAGACCCTGCCAGACTCGCTCAATCGATGCCAGAACCCGGAAACGTCCTGGAGTTTCCAGCTGAGTGACACGTGTTTTGTTTGGGAGGGGAGGGGGGGTACCGATAGAACCACATCTGGAAACTTAAAACTGGGCTAAAAAGCAGGAAATATGATGGTGTGGCGATAGGAGAGCAGTAAAGATGCAATGCACTCACACCCATTCCTTTTGCTGAGTACTATATTCGCATGCAGCACAGATATACTTTGCCAGTCACCAAATTCTTCGGGTATTTATGAGATTTCATATATTTGGAATTGATAGTTTGATCACTTGTGTTCCCATGTTATCAAAGTGTCGGTTTATTCTGAAGTGTTCTACAATAGGTTTGCAAACAAGTAGTTAAAGGGACCCTATAGGCGCCCTGACCACTGCAGCTTATTGAAGTGATCTGGGTGCACTGTCCCTCTCCCCCCTCTTTGCAATGTTTACATTACAGCACTAAGACAGCCTCCAGTCGCTGTCTACCAGACAGTCACTAAAGGCGCTTCTGGGATATTACTTGACTTTAAGGTCTGCATGAGGACATCCAGCATCAGAGAAATCTCAATAGGAAAGCATTGATTCAATGCTTTCCAAAGGGGAGAGCCTAATGCTCTAGCTGAGCATTCGCATTAGGCCTCCCCCCCCCCCTGTCGATAAAGTCCTACTTGTTTCAAAGAAATATTATAATGTTAGGAATAGTGTATAGTATTCCTTTAAAACAAGTAGGACAAACTGGAACATGGACATGGTTTTTCACCAAATTTTCAATTGTTACAAACTAAAATGTGAATGGCAAAAAGTAGGCAAGCAGTGCCTATAACTGAGATGGCGAATTTCAGCACCACCATAGGTATTTGCCTAAGGGGGTCGTTCGTTAAATACAAAATTATAGAGACTTAAAGATTAGTTAAATTTAATATAAAACAATGTGTCTTATTAACAAAGACTGATTTCTAAACACATTTATGGTAGTGTAAATAAACTGTGATTATTATTATTATTGCTCTGGGGCTCAGTTATACACTCAGACACACCAACAATATGAAGCTCCTGGGGAAAAAAAGACATTAGGATAGAAAAGAAGGACAGAGCGACTTGAGCCCTAAATATGGACACTTGGCAAGTCAGTGATTTAAATGAGTCATGGTTTCTACAGTGCATGTGCAGAGTTTCACCTCTGGTTAAGCTGGTTAATATCAGTTCTGTGCAAATTTTCATACACCATGTGCTATTCATTGGCTGATAGTGACTGCAGCCCAGAAGCCGGAAGAACGTCATTAAGCAGGAGAGGAGCCTCGAAGACTGGCAGGTAAGAGGGCAAACTGTTACAAAATGGTTTGCCCATTACTCTGGAACCAGCCCAGTGTACTCATAGCATTATAACAACTACCGCGATCTCGAGTGGTTATGATTCTTGTAGTTACCCTTTAATACCAACCTTTATTGTCTTACTGCAGCCATACTATGAATAAGTACATAAAACAAACCTCTTCTTCAGTTCTCTGTGATCTTCATATAACATTAGTTAGAGAACCACTAAAGACACCCAGACCACTTTATCTCAATGAAATGGTCTGGGTGCACTGGCCTTGTAGTTTTAACCATGCAATATAAGACATTTCAGTTCTATAGACATGGCACAGTTTATATTACAGGGTTAACACTCCTCAAGTGGCTGTTTTCTAGACAGCCATTAGAGGCGCTTCTGTGTTGAGAACTGTGACGAACTGAACCTTGTCACGGGTGCTTGGAGGGGCCTGCTGGCCAGCCTCTTGCCAAAAGACTACGGGCCAAATCAACGACTGTAAAGACCCATATTTTATTCCCCCTGGTTCGGCACTTTCCATAGAACCGAACGCTAGCTCCCTGGTGGCCGTTCGCATGGACCAAAACCGCAAATAGACTATAGGGGAACTTAGCCGCGAATGCCCGGGAACTATTTTCGGCATGAAGACTTTGCGGTTCACGGTCGGTCCTCCAGCAGCACTTAGCCGCAATTCTATGGATTCGTTTTGGGCATGTGACCATGCATGCAGTCGGTAAAAACTATGACTTCCAGGAAATTCCTGAACCCCTAAACTGATCTGGGTGATTTTTGGATATGTTGGTCACCCAGATCAGGGCTATCAGGGGATGTAACTTTTGTGGGGGTTTTGTAAAAATGTGTGTTTTTTGTGTTTGGAGATAATTGAGTTTTGTATAGTGCTTGACTCATTTATCTCCTAAGTAAAGGGGAAGGCTTATTGTATTGTATATGGGAGTGTCATGCATTGTAACACTGTTATTATTGGTCTGTGACTTTGTAAAGGCGTTCCCCACAAGGTCCATGTGGGAGTGCCCCTTGCATGGGGATTGTCATAAAAGGCCAAGTGTGGCACCATTAAAATCAGTTCCTCTTCACCCTCAACATAGAGCCTAGTCTCATGTGTGGAGGGGACAGCTATATTCACTCTGGGGATTGCTATATTCATTATACTCCCTTGGATTATTATCACTAGCTCTTATAAGAGCTGTTCCTGCTATACTCTCTGGAGTAGGAGAGGTTCATCCACTGGAAGCTGGATCCTGGTCTTGGGTCCAGGGTGAGTGGAGGACAGCGAGACCCCAATCAATCTGCGGTGGTTCATGGGGTCTACAGTGGTTATGGTGTCTGGTGGAGTGCTTGGAGTCCTCGGTGAGCACTAGGAGCATCGACTGGCGGAGGCACCCGGTAGGGGTGCCAGGCGGTCTGTCACAAGAACCAAGTCAAATTCTGTTCTCAATAGAATGTTTCAAGATCGGCTACATTGGCCTCATATATGAAAACCAATTTCAAATTTCAGGCAATTTTTTTAATTAGTCAATAATCCTGATCGATATAGGGACTCTGTACACTGAATCATCTGTTTTCTTTTTCGAATGTGTTTTATAGACAGAAAATTAAAACATGCTCTGGGGTAAAAGATTCATCAGCATTTCATAAATGAAAAATACTGCCAAGAAGGAGGTAATAATGTAGTAAGGTAGGATGAGACAAACAGAGACTGGAAAATGACATAAGCAATGTCACCAAACTATGGTGGATCAAAAAAATAGTTTGTGAATTAAAGATATTTCATGATTTTATGGAATGATATTATCAGGGTTAATAACTTAAGTGAGAATTCAAAGAGAATGCCAGAGTAGCCAAACTGAAACCATAGGTGACTTTGAGGATTTTTCCATTTTGACAACTGGACCTTAAAGGGAAGTCTGCTCCAGTTCCAGCTGTAAGTCTACCCCTCTAGACGGCTTCCGTAATCCTGTCGTAGTTTTTGGTCCGTTATCTGACGCTGGACGTCCTTATGTAAGCACTCACCTCTAAAAATCATTTGGGGGGGTTATACAGGAGCATGTGCTTCCCTGCTAGATGCTTCTCATTTATCAGAGAAGCACTTAAAAAAAAAAAAAAGAATGAATGCAAACATTTACATTGTATTATTCTTTGATTTAAAACTTTACTGTTTTTTTTTTTTTGCAGCATGTGACATTTTACCTCTTGCAGTACTTAGATCTTTCTTATCCTACCCATCCAGATAATTGCGAAATAAACTTTGCTCTATAATTGCAAAGGGCAGAGATATAATATTTGCCGATCTCAGCTGTTGTGTGTGTGTGGAATGAGTCACTAAGTCACTCAGTCTCTGACTCTTCCTGTTTTCTCAACAGCTTTAAACCGAAGAACACTATTGTCTCAAACTCTCCATCAACGATGACCACCAAACGGCGACTCCTGCTCATTTCTAACTCTACGCTACATGGAGGAGGTTATCTGGAGCATTGCCAGGAACACATAGTAAAGTTTTTAGGAAAGTAAGTAAATCGTTTTTGAGTGTGTGTGTCTTAAATGATAATTGTATACTTAATTAATTTTTGCTATTAATAAAATGACTTTGTGTGGACTATATATTTTGTCCTGTTACTTCCTGGTTTGTTTAGCTCAGTGGAGCGAAACTCAAGAGGCAGCAATTGCCCAGAGCACCTACCTTGCAAAGACTCACATTAAGCTGAATTAGGAAGTCTGTGATTGGGCAGCCACAGAAAGTCTAGGCTGGGGAAGAAGGGTAGGACTGCAGCAATTGCAATTCAAAATGTTTTGCAAAATAACCTGAATGCATATTTTCTTGTGGGGTATATCGACAAAATTTTTTAAACATTTTTTTGAATGGAATGACCCTTGTAAGCCCTGCGGAGCGAACACATAAGATTGTGTTTGCCTTTATCTGTGTGCAATTTGAAAACTCTACAACGCATTGATTTCAAAATGATCCGATAAATGGAGGAGGCTACCAGTGAGTATTTTTTTCACGTTTATTGTTTCATTTTACGGACATCCGATTTGGGATTTTCTTTGTCAGCATGTTGTTCTCTTATTGGTGTCTTGACACCCCCCGAGGCCCCGGTTTTAATTACTACAAGGCCAATCAATTTACTTTTCTATTTCCCTTTTTTTTATTTTTTTATTTACAGGAACCCTTAAAGCTTGTTGCACTGTTCCTTCTCTTCTGAAGTGGGCTTCATTTCCCAAAAGGCTAAATAGATAATTAGAAAGCTAGACACACTGGGGAAAAAAAGAGAAGAAGAGATACAAGATTTTATTCTAAAATGTGCTTGTTTTTGGCTTTTTATTCCAGGCAAGTAAAGAGAGTCCTATTTGTCCCTTATGCTCTCCATGGCAGAGATGATTATGCTAAAATTGCAAGACAGAAGTTTGAAAGTCTGGGTAGGTGTAATATGTATAATTACAGGAGCTATTCTGAATATCGATGTTAATATATCTTACATCTTACAAATTTGGCAGGCAGCCGCCCTGAGGGGTGGAATTTCATCCATTCCCTTTCTGTTGTTGCCCCTGGTATATATTCAGGACTTTCCCTCTGGGATGCATACCAAGGCATTTTCAGATTTAATCCACCATTCATTACCAAGAATATGCCATGTGGGATCCTCCTTGGTGTGTAAAACGATTACCACACTGTCGGAGGGAGGAAATGCCCCCATCTTGCAGTCCTTCCACTACAGGTAAAGGTTACATTAAATGCTCTTCTACAGAAACCTTCCGTATTCAGGGCCCTAATTTCCTTTTGATCCACCTGCATGGAATCTGGCCCACTAGCACATTAGGTATCATATCTTTATTCAGTACTCCATTCCAAAACCCCAACAGTGACGCCACTGCTCATGGGTAAATGGGAGACATTTTCTGGAAAACCTAAACTGAGACCAATGGTAAAAAATACAGCACTGCTCACTTTCCAGTAGGGCTCATGAGACGGCATCTAAACTCTTTTCCTGCTGGTACCAAACTCCCAGGTACCTACAGATATTAGATCCCACCCATACTGGGTTATGTTGGTGTTGCACACACAATATGGGGACACTGATTCACCTATGGTGGGGCTATATGTTGGTTCAGACATACTGCAGAGCGATACTTTCCGTGCTAAAGATAGTTTTAGACTCTCCGCCTTACTTTAAAAAAACACTATAGTCACCAAATCAACTTTAGCTTAATGAAGTAGTTTTGGTGTATAGATCATGCCTCTAAAGTTACACCGCTCAATTCACTGCCATTTAGGAGTTAAATCACTTTGTTTATGCAGCCCTAGTCACACCTACCTGAATGTGACTTGCACAGCCTGCGTGCCAAACAGCTGGTTTCACCTTCAAACTGATGTAACTTATCTTAAAAGATTTTATTTCCTGCTCTGTAAATTTAACTTTATATTACATATAGGTATATCCTGCAGGGTCTAGGAGGCTATTAACAGAGCAGAAGATAAGAAAATCTAAATTAAACAGAATTTGCAATAAAGGAAGTGTAAACATTAGATTACTATTTACAGGAAGTGTTTAGGAAGGCTGTGAAAGTCACACGCCGGGAGGTGTAAGTAGGGTGGCATATGCAAAGTGATTTAACTCCTAAATGGCAGAGAACTGAGCAGTGAGACTAGTCCCTCTAGTAGCTGTCTGGTAGACAGCCACTAGAGATAGTGTTAACCTTCAAATGTAATTTATTGCATTTTATTAAAAACTGCAATAATTAGCTTTGCAGGTGTTAAAGGACCACTCTAGGCACCCAGACCACTTCAGCTTTATGAAGTGGTCTTGGTGCCAGGTACCTCTAGGATTAACCCTTTTTTTTTATAAACATAGCAGTTTCAGAGAAACTGCCATGTTTATACTGAGGGTTAATCCAGCCTCTAGTGGCTGTCTCATTGATAGCCGCTAGAGGCGCTTGCGTGCTTCTCACTGTGAAAATCACAGTGAGAGCACGCAAGCGTCCATAGGAAAGCATTGTAAATGCTTTCCTTTGCGACCGGCTGAATGCGCGCGCGGCTCCTGCCGCGCATGCGCATTCAGCCGATGACGTCGCGAGCGAGGAGGAGTACAGCTCCCCGCCCGGCGCTGTAGAAAGGTAAGTGTTTAACCCCTTCCTCTCTCCAGAGCCCGGCGGGAGGGGGTTCCTGAGGGTGGGGGCACCCTCAGGGCACTATAGTGCCAGGAAAACGAGTATGTTTTCCTGGCACTATAGTGGTCCTTTAAGGGACCTTGGACATTTCACCCAGACCACTTCAATTAGCTGAAGTGGTCTAGGAGCCTTTAGCGTCCCTTTAATAGTAATAAAAATGAGTAAGATAAACAAATAAAGAATGGGGAGAGGAGAAAAAAAGGAAAGGATAAAATCATTATAGCAGGAAGGCTGCGTATTCACCAGACTACAGTAAACACACATGTTGTATTTGACCATAAAGTGTAAACATGGCAACCATATTAAATTGATAATGACAGTGCGAGCAATGAGTTGAAATAATGTATTTCACGATTGATAACTGCCTAGTGACAAATTTACTGTAATGGCCCTCAGAAGCAATATTATTATTTTTATTTTTTTTAATAATTAAAGAGTGGAATTGATTCACTTATTAATAAGCTGTATAAGAATTTTTAAAGAAATGAATAATAAATAACGTTTCCTTTATTGTTTCAGGTTATGGCTTGGACAGCGTACATGAGGCTGAAAATCCGGTAGAAGCTGTCCAGAATTGCCAAGCCATCTTTATTGGTAATTTTCTTGTATATTAAATGTGCTTTAAACAGGAGGCAGTGTACTGGCTAATATTTGAATGGGCACTATAAGCACTGTAGGCACTGCATCTTGATTTTGCAGTTATTTGTTGTTATTCTGTGGGTGCCATTAATTTACTTTCCTGGCCATATCCATGGCAGCACAACAATGGGTAGCTCCTCCCTATCCCTAACAAGACAGGAACCTAATTAAAACAGAAGGTATAAGTAACCCCTCCTACCCCTCCCACCCTCAGTCTTTTTGTTCCTGTCCTGTCCCTAGGACAGACTTAGTCATTCTAAGACTAGAGAATTTTTTTCTTTTTGGCTTACCTGAGGGTTGTTACCTTTTCCCTCAAGGAAGTTCAGCCTCTCTCCCTTGGGCAGTCTCCAGTACACAGCCCTGTGCAAAGGTGACCCCCTGGAGAGACCCCTTTAGTGACCGGGGGTTCTAACTTGCTGTGACCCTAGGGGTAGCAAGATCATGCCATCACCATGATTCCTGCAGTGACCAAGAGGTATTAGGCCGGACATGCACATACAAAGGACATGGATTGCAAGGATTAATATGACATTGACTAACATTCCATCCCTGAAGGAGTTAATGTGAGACAGACTAACATTCCATCGCTGAAAGGGTTAAAGTACAACTCACTATCTTGTACTTTCCCATGGATTTACTTGCTGTGAACCTAGGGTAGCAAGATTTTGCCATCAGCCTATTTCCTGCAGTGACCAAGGAGTAGAAGGCTGGGCAGGCACATACAGAGCATATATATGGATGTAACCCTTTCTACCCTTCATCGGTTTCATCTAAACGGTAATGTAACAGTGTAAGCATGCAGAAGCAAAACAAAGAGAGATGGACACAGGTATTCAGGAAGTAAGAGTCCTTTATTCACATTACCGATCGGGTCTCAGATGAACTCCTGTTCCAAAATTCTGAGAGACCAACACATGGTGTACATTCCTTATATAGCACTATAACTCCTCCCATCAATAGCTACACCCACATATACCTTTAACCAATCAATGAGCAGAATATAGACTTGTACATCTAGTCAAACCACATGGCCCATCCAAGACAAAGGAAATAAGTGCAATTTCAGTTCCTGCATTCCTGCACATGCTCAGTACATTGATGACAGTATCCTAGCTATGTGTAGCTAACTAACTGACACAACATACACATATGCCACATGGACATCTTGGCCTACTAAATTTACATTCACCGAAATTCCACCACATTCCCCGCTTTGATGCCTCTGGTACAAATTATTCCAGATGCATCACCAATCACAGTTTTACCTACATCTCTCAAGTTGCCATTGAACCAGAGTAGACCTTGTAAGCATCTTAAAAACTCCTTCAACATTCCTCATCCTCAATATATTCTCTTTGGGCTAGGGGATCATATCTATAGACAGCCATTACATGAGCCACTGTCTTTCTCTCTATAGTACTCTCTATAATACTACGTAGGGACCTTACCACTAATGGAATTAGACAGGGCAGAAAATAAGAATATGATAAACACTATTCCTCCTACTAACACCTTAATTCCTCCAAGCTGCTCATACCAGCTTCCAAACCAACTATTAGGATTATACCCATTCCAGACCTGAGTCGGTACATGCGCAAGTTTAACCATGTGACTAGTAAATTCAGCCACTGACTGACCTTCATCATCTATATGCAAACAACAGTTGCTAAGATTAAACTTTCCGCATACACCTCCTTCCACTGCTAATAGATAATATAAAGCTAATCTATTTTGATAGATGGCTGATCTCATCCTGGTATTTTGCTTAGCTAGAAGATTAAGCGCTTGAGCTGTCTCATTAGTAATAATCTCAACCACTGCCTGTAGTCCAATAATCCGGTTGAGCATATATATCGGAGTTCTATATCCATAAGTGCCATCTTCTGCCCAAGTATCAGGTCCATAATAATTAATAATACATTGAGGGGGCCACTCATCATCTTCCCAACTACCTATATTCAAGGATGCTCTCTTCCTTTTATAATTTACATCGTAAACCTTAACTCCCAAGGTCTCTCCTGTCTCAATTGGCAACAAGAAGAAGGATGGCTTGAGCATACCTAATACACATGCCCCTTCCCAATCTTGTGGTAACTCCGAATAAGCTTTCCTACCACAGATCCAGTATAAATTTGCTGGGGATTTCCAACTAGATTTAGCAGATAAGTCAAACCATACCTCCTTTAAATGAGTGTAATTGGCAAACGGATTAGTAGGCTTCGAGACATTTGAAGCTGACCACCAAGTAGTATTTTTAATATTAACATTATAGGCTTTTTGTCCCAAGCAAGTTAGCTCACCTACAAACGTGTTATACATTGTCCCTTTCCTGGCTATACAAACATGACCTATAATGGAGGTTTTTAACCGCCATTCAGATTTACTTCTAGTACTTACTTGATGATCAGACTGAAAATGTTGTTCATATGTCTCAGAGCCAGGGTACCATATTTCCTTTGCCTCCCATGGCCACTGGTCTCCCATATTAGTACCTCCACACACATAGCAATTAGTTACAATAAGACTACCCGCAATACTCTCAGCCAAATCTATAAATAGGTTCTTAACATTATGGGGAATTTTATCCTCAACACTCCTCTCCTCATAAAAGGAATGGAAAACCTGATGAGTTTGAGTTGCCACTGTCTCAGTTTCAAGACCTACATATATTATTGTTCCTGGATCTACTCCTGTGCCATGTATTTGGAACCCAAAAATATTTCCAAATTTATCAATAAAATGCTGGGGATTAGAGATGGTCATATGGACCGGATTACATTCCATAGATTTACAGTATGGTGTGGTAGGCAACCTTTGGATAATCATATCTTGATCCACTGTTTTTCCCCAGGTTGCCCACCCTACACAAGACCAATAGGGACAAAAATTATAATCTCTATTTGGGCAATCAGGATCAGTAGATCTTTCACTGGGACATAAGTATTTATCATTAAACCCATAAGTTCGTTCCCATTTAAGATTACCACATACATTCCAAGGTTTTCTACTACCAGAAATCGCCTTAAATGCATCAAATAGCAGAACACCCGTAGAATGTATGGTATTGATCACAGTCCTATTTATCAAAGTTCCCTGGGAATTACTATTCCTAATTACCAACCAAATTGTATGGGGTTGGAATTGGGGATCGAAACATTTAGACTCTCCTGATATTGGCTTGCACACACTATAATCAATATCCAAATATCTACATTTAGATACAGATCCCTTACATTCATACTGTGAGTGCCAGATGAGAGTTTGGGATATTTGGTTACCTGTTTTAGTAGTCTTAATGCAACTATCGCAATTCGGTATGTCTGTACTCCTACCTTCCTGAAAAATCATAAAAATACTAAGACACATACTAAAACACATTATTCCTGAAATCCTAATTTTTCTTCGACCGTGCGATGGCCCCTCAGCTTCCCGATTGTGAGGGCTGCAAGGATGTTGTTCTTCTGATCCTCACTTTCCTTCACAGAGATCCCTTCGAGACACTCTGGCTATGACACATAGGCAGGTGGTCAGGCTTTATTATGGCCGTCAAAACACCTACTTTGCTGATCTCTATAGTTACTCTAGATGTCCCAATATCTCCTCGTCACTCCGACTGAGTTGCACGCTTCAACCGGATCTTGCAAGGATTCTCAGGATCTGGGATAGCTTGCCAAGAGTCTGATGCTGGGTTAACCCTAGAATGATGAATCCACGGAGTCACCTCTGCCACCTTTACAGCTGTTTGGGTAGATAAAAGAACAACATAAGGACCCCTCCACTTTGGACCTAATGGAACAATATTCCATTCTTTTATCCACACTTGATCTCCTGGTTGATAGGAATGAACAGGTAGATATATATTCACAGGTAACCTATCTTGCACCCATTTCTGCACCTCCTCCATAGTTTTACCCAACTCTACAACCTGCTGCCGAGTAATTCCTTCACCCAACTGATTTAAGTCCCCCCTTAGATTACTTAGTATGGGAGGTGGACGCCCATACATAATTTCAAAGGGAGACAAACCCATCCTTCTGGTAGGCGTACTACGTATTCGCAACAGAGCTATTGGCAAAAGGACATTCCACTTGAGCTGAGTTTCCTGACACATTTTAGCCAACTGGGTTTTTATTGTTCTGTTCATCCTTTCCACCTTTCCAGAACTCTGAGGTCTATAGGCTGTATGAAGTTTCCACTTGATACCAAGCACATGAGTTAGTTGTTGCAAACACTGATGAATAAAGGCTGGGCCATTATCTGATCCTATAAAACACGGAAGTCCATATCTGGGTATAACTTCTCGCAACAGAAATCGTACAACTTCTCCTGCCTTTTCTGTACGAGTTGGACAAGCTTCTACCCAGCCTGAGTAGGTGCACACAGCTACCAACAAATAACGATATCCCCCAGATTTAGGCATCACAATGTAATCTATTTGTAAATCTGACATTGGGAGTCCTCCCATATACTGAACTCCAGGGGGTTTGACAGGGCCTTGTCTTGCATTATTTTGGGCACACAATACACATCTCCAAACTATGGCTTGAGTCAGACTAGATAACCTTGGTATATAGAAATGTTTCCTAAGAGATTCTTCCATACTATCTCTTCCAGTATGTGTACCATTATGAACATTTTGAACAATCTCTATAGCCAGAGATGTCGGAATAACTATTCTTCCATCTTCTAACTGATACCAGTTATTCTCCAGATATTTCCCAGCTTCAGTCTTCAACCTCTCCATCTCTTGGGTTGTATGTATTGGAGTCCATTGAGACAGAGGTGCCGGTACAAGGGCTGCGACATATCCCACATATTCCTCTAAGCCAGATTCAGCTACATGTTTTGCTGCGTTGTCGGCCATGCAATTTCCTTTGATGACATCACTATCACCCCTCAGATGTGCTCTACAGTGTATAATACCGACTTTCTTCGGTTCCCATACCGCCTCTAACAGTTGGAGTATTTCAGCCGCATCCTTGATCTCTTTTCCTTCTGAATTCAGCAATCCCCTTTCTTTATACAATGCTCCATGTGTATGGGTGGTTAGAAAAGCATACTTCGAATCAGTGTAGATATTCACTCTCAGCCCTTCAGCTAATTGCAAAGCCCTGGTTAATGCAATCAGTTCTGCCTTCTGTGCTGATGTCCCTTTTGACAGTGGCCATGCTTCTATCACCTTATCTATAGTCGTTACCGCATATCCTGCATAACGTACACCTTCCTTCACATAACTACTACCATCAGTATAATACTGTATGTCTGGATTCTGGATGGGGAAATCATGAAGATCAGGCCTGCTTGAAAACACTTCATCCATTATCTCCAAACAATCATGTTGACTTTCAGTAGTCTGAGGCAAAAGGGTAGCTGGATTCAAATTGTTGACAGTTTTGAGGTGTACTCTTGGATTTTCACACAACATAGCCTGATATTTGGTCATTCGACTGTTGCTAAACCAACGATTTCCCTTATAATCCAAGAGGGTCTGTACTGCATGAGGTACTCTCCTATAGAGTTCCTGACCCAAGGTGAGCTTGTCAGCTTCTGCTACCAGTAAGGCAGCAGCAGCCACTGCTCGCAGACAAGGTGGAAGACCACTGGCCACTGCATCCAACTGTTTGGACATGTAAGCTACAGGTCTTTGCCATGATCCCAAGTATTTAGTTAATACTCCCACAGCCATTCTTCTTTGCTCATGTACGTACAGATAGAAAGGACGTGTATGATCTGGTAGACCTAGGGCTGGTGCATTCATTAGTGCTTTCTTAACATCTTCGAATGCCTTCTGTTGTTCAGAGGTCCACAAAAAGGGGTCATGTTCTGTTCCTTTCACAGCTTCGTATAGAGGTTTCGCCAATATTGCATATTTAGGAATCCATTTCCTGCAGAATCCTGCTGCTCCTAAGAATTCTCGCACTTGTCTTCTATTCTTAGGTATAGATATCCGACACACTGCTTCTTTTCTTTCAGGTCCCATCATTCTTTGACCTTCGGATATATGGAATCCTAAATATTTAACTTGGCTGGCACAATTGTGCTTTCTTCCTCGATACCTTGTATCCTGTTCTCCATAGAATATGAAGCAAATCATAAGTGGCTTGTTGGCATATCTCTTTAGTAACAGCTGCTATCAATAGATCATCCACATATTGAAGTAGTACACATTCTCCTGGGATGACTTGAAATCTTGCAAATCCTGGCTTAATGCGGATCCAAATAGGGTAGTTGAATTCTTGAACCCTTGAGGTAGTCTGGTCCAGGTCATCGGACGCTTTGAACCTGTAACAGCATCTTCCCATTGGAAAACAAAGATATGTTGACTCTCAGCAGCAATTCGAAGACAAAAGAAAGCATCCTTAAGATCTAACACTGTGAAGTAGGTTGCCCCACCTGGTATCAAGGCAAGCAGATTGTAAGGATTGGGTACAACTGGGTGTATATTAACTACTGCATCATTAACTGCTCTCAAATTCTGTACAGGAAGATACTCGTCCGATCCTGGTTTTGGAACAGGTAATAATGGAGTGTTCCAGGAGGAAGTACAGAATTTTAGGATGCCATACCTTACGAACTTATCCAAGTAGGTTTGTATGTTTTCCTTAGCCTTTTTTGGGGTATGTGATATTGACGTAGGCTCACAAGATAGGCCCCAAGCTTTAGTTCAATATGTATGGGTGGGATATTACGAGCAAGTCCTGGTGGATTATTATCTGCCCTTACTCCTGGAATGTCAAATAAGGATTCATCTCTCTTAGGGTTAACACTTGTCACTATGGAATAGAAGCGCCATTATGCCTGGTAATCCCTTAAACTTCAGAGATGTTGATGCATTAGGTAAAAAGGTTATCTGGGCTTGAAGCTTCGATAATAGATCTTGTCCTAGAAGTTGAATCGGACACTCTGGCATATATAGGAACTGATGCTTCACCACATGGCCTCCCAGAATACAAGTGCGACTTTTAAGAACCGGTCTAGCTGTGCTTCTCCCAGTAGCTCCTATCACAGTTATAGTCTTCCCCGAAGGCAGAGCCACCATCTTAGTCACCACAGAATGTTCAGCACCTGTGTCGATCATGAAAGAACTTCTCTTTCCCCCTATTGCTACATCGACCATAGGCTCCGCTTGACCAAGGGGGATGGAGCCCGGTTGGTATCAATAGTCTTCCATGACAGTGTCAGTCAGACCCACAAAATCTCTATCCTCTCTTTCTCTAGGTCTCTGCATGGGTGGATAGTATCTGTCTCCTTGAACATTTCCTCTACTATTCCCACCATTCCCTCTAAAACTTCCTCTTCCTCTATAACTACCACTATAACCTCCTCTTTCTCTCTCCTTGTCTATCACCTTCATACTGCTCTCTCTGTGGACACTCACTCTTCCAATGTCCCTCCTTTCTACAATACGCACATTGATTCCTACTTAAAGGTCCCTTGCTCAGCCTATTCTCGTCTCCTCTATTCACTTCCCTTCCCTGCCTTTCTACACTTGAGATAGCTACCGCTAGCATATCTGCCTTTTTCCTCATCTTCCACGTTCTTCCTCCCGCTTTACCTCCGTCTCCCTATTCATATATACTTTATTTGCAATCTCCATTAGCTGTAATATGGACATCCCTACAAATCCCTCTAATTTATGTAATTTCCTTTTAATATCACCCTGGGCCTGGCTGACAAATGCTGAATTAATCATCCTAGAATTCTCAGGCGCCTCTGGATTAAAAGCAGTATACAACCTATATGACTCCAATAATCTCTCATAAAAGGTACTAGGTGACTCATCAACCTTTTGCAACACCTCAGCCGTCTTTGACATATTAATTGCCTTCTTCCCTCCTGCCTTCATGCCAGCAATTAGGGCTTCCCGATAAGCCCTTAGTTGGGGCATGTCAGCACCATTCACTTTCCAATTTGGATCGACATTTGGATAATGGGCTGCAGCCCACGCAACTGGATTGGCCTGATTTTGAGTACGGGCCGTTTCCTCAAGCGCTTTAATAGCTTGATTAATCCGGGTCCTTTCCTCACAATTAAATAAAGTTAATAATTGCTGGCAATCGTCCCAGGTGGGATTATGTGTTTGGATAATAGAAGTAACCAAATCTGTCAGAACTTGAGGTTTGTCAGTATATGAAGAGTTATGAGTCTTCCAGTTAAATAAATCAGTCGTAATGAAGGGGACATATACAAACACTGGATCTGCCCGTTGTATTTGGCCATTCTCATCCACGTGTGTTGGGCCTGGTGTCAGTCGGAGAGGCATTTGGTAATGTCAGGGTTGGAGGGCACCAGTTAATATGGGACTACGATATGATGATTTCATAATGAGTTCCGGTCTAGGGGTAGTAAGGCAAGGGGAGTGAGGCGGATTAATTTTACTGGGCGAAAGTTCGGTCAACAGGATATTACGGGCTGGGCTGGGAGAAGCCTGACCAGGAACCAGAAGTGACGTCTGTTCCGGATATATGGAACTAGTAGAGGCCTGTACCGGAAGGGGAGGTTTCAGAGCTAGTGGGCTGGGCTCTGAACTAGATGCATGAGTGGGCAGGGACAATGGAAAAGGGGGAGTAGCAACACCAGTAGCACCACCTCTAACCTTAAGTGTAAGGAGGTGGGGAGGGAAGGTCAGTTTCAGAGGGGGAATCTAAAATGGGCGGAGTTGCGGCCCTGATGGAGAGGCGAGTCCTGGCCACCATGAGGCGACATTGCTCCTCGTGGCATACCTTAACCCATTTAGGCAATTCTTCTACAATCTGTTTCCAACAATCAATATACGGAAACTGATCATAAAATTCAGGCCTACTAGATACAGCTGCGTGCACACGTACCAAAATGAGATCAAGGCTACCACGTGGTGGCCATGCAGTCACCAGGATAGGCCACTCTCTACTACATAAGGTAGTCAAACGTTTTGGAGACAATTTTACCCCAAAATCACAGGCTTTATATCCCTTTGTAAAGTTTTTCAACATGCACGACAAGGGATTAACAATCTTTGAGTCGGACGCACCCATACTGGCAATGGAACGTCTATTACAAAGATACACAATACTTCAAACACTTCCAACAATCACACTTGTTTCACTGGCAACAGTACCATGTGGCACGGTTGCTAAGCCAAACATACACACACAATAACACGCAGAGAATTCTCGTTCATACAGTGATATCACAGCGTCCCACTCACAAAGATCTACCAAACACTAGCTACTTACCTCTATAACTATAAATCGTCTCTACAATTATCCGTACTATAAATCAACTTTTAACTAACCAACTATATCACATTCTAGTAATCTCATCTTTACAGTCAGTGGTTATGGTACAGTTAGTAAGTGGTTATAATACAGTTTTAAAGTCACAGATCAGTTAGTAACAGTTATGGTATTATACATATAACATAAAACAGCAATTGTTAGTAATTTTTACACAATGTCAGTGGTTATGGTACATGTCAGTAGTTATGGTACCGAGCGCTATATTACAGTTATACACACAATTTACACACCCACTAGACGGCAAAGCTCTAACTTTCTAGTAGGACATACAAGTTAACCAATTCACCAACTACAATATATTTAACAACATTTACAATAATCCCAACTATTCTAACTGGCCAGCACCTCGAGAGCTTTCGATCTATTTGTACACCAGAGATTCGATAAGTTCTTCGCTGCCCAGACACCACGTATAGCGAACTAGAGGGCAGAATTTACACCAATACCCTTTTAGTCTATTACACTATCAATAATCTAGTGGCTGGATTTACAACAGAGCACACTTAGTTAAGATAGGGTGAAATCTAGCAAACTATAATATACAACAGAGTCTGCTTAATTTCGCCGATCTCCCCGACCTAGCAACCAAAATTTACACCTAGCATGCTAGTCAAGGCAGGACATCGGCGTCTGTGTTTTATTCCTAGGCCTTATGGCTTTTAATACTGCCACTGGAGTCACTTTTTTCTAGGCATTTGTTATGCCTTTTAATATAGCAGCTAGCTTTTTCCTAGGCCTCTGTTGGGCCTTTTATTATAACCGCTGGATTCACTTATTCCTAGGCCTCTGTTAAATCTTTTATTGCAGCTGCCTCAACTGAGTGTGGTGAGATAGCTCAGTCGGCTAATACTTCATCAGCAGAAACTGTTTGTCAATTGGGGCTCACCGGTTCAATTCCCTGCAGGGCTGACTCAGTCCTTAAAGGACCACTATAGTGCCAGGAAAACATACTCGTTTTCCTGGCACTATAGTGCCCTGAGGGTGCCCCCACCCTCAGGGACCCCCTCCCGCCCGGCTCTGGGGAAAGGGGTAAAACTTACCTTTTTCCAGCGCTGGGGGGCTCTCTCCTCCTCTCTCTCCTCCGTTACGCCCTGCCCGGCTGAATGCGCACGAGCGGCAAGAGCTGCGCGCGCATTCAGCCGGTCTCATAGGAAAGCATTTACAATGCTTTCCTATGGACGCTGGCGTGCTCTCACTGATCACAGTGAGAAGCACGCAAGCGCCTCTAGTGGCTGTCAATGAGACAGCCACTAGAGGATTAGGGGGAAGGCTTAACCCATTAATAAACATAGCAGTTTCTCTGAAACTGCTATGTTTATTAAAAAATGGGTTAACCCTAGCTGGACCTGGCACCCAGACCACTTCATTAAGCTGAAGTGGTCTGGGTGCCTAGAGTGGTCATTTAATGTAAATAAAATGTGTGCCATTAAATTGGGTAATAGTAACATCCCAATGATATACTTAGAAACCAGAAAATATTTGAATGTCTCTTTCCTGGTTCAAGACTTTGCAATAATAATAATAATTGCATATTGCTTATAGCTGGTCAAACATTGCTTAAAGGACCACTATAGTGCCAGGAAAACATACTCGTTTTCCTGGCACTATAGTGCCCTGAGGGTGCCCCCACCCTCAGGGACCCCCTCCCGCCCGGCTCTGGAAGGGGGAAAGGGGTAAAAACTTACCTTTTTCCAGCGCTGGGAGGAGAGCTCTCCTCCTCCTCTCCTCTCCGTTAGCCGGCTGAATGCGCACGCGTAGCGGCAAGAGCTGCGCGCGCATTCAGCCGGTCTCATAGGAAAGCATTTACAATGCTTTCCTATGGACGCTGGCGTGCTCTCACTGTGAAATCACAGTGAGAAGCACGCAAGCGCCTCTAGTGGCTGTCAATGAGACAGCCACTAGAGGATTAGGGGGAAGGCTTAACCCATTCATAATTATAGCAGTTTCTCTGAAACTGCTATAATTATGAAAAAATGGGTTAACCCTAGAAGGACCTGGCACCCAGACCACTTCATTAAGCTGAAGTGGTCTGGGTGCCTAGAGTGGTCCTTTAAGGACTGACAAGAAAAAGACAAGGGAGGTGTTAATATTGAAGTAGATATATAAAGAATGATCTCATGTTCTGTTGCACATTCTGTTTCCTTTGTAGACATTAAATGACAATGTTTTGTGCCTGCAGGTGGTGGTAACACGTTTCGACTTTTGAAAGCGTTATACGATAACAATTTAATTCCTGCCATAAGGAAGAAAGTGCTTGAGGTATTGTATGTTCCTGGAAGGATCGCAGAATCCATTAGCTCTTATCATCACTTGCCATTAATCATAGGTGTTCATTGCTGGTTGACGTGATGTGCTTATGTACCTTTTTTTTTTTTTCCTGCAATTTTTCTCTGCACCCCAATGACAAAATGCAGGCATTTAATTATGCATTTTTTTACTTTGGACTATCTTAAAAACTAGTCTGCCTCTTGTGTTTAGCTCCCCTGAGCTAAGCTATGAGGAGATTAAAGGACCAGTGGTCTCATTGACATGCGATGGGGGGGAGGGTGTTACAAGGATAATTTCTATTAAGATCAGCACTTATGTAAAAAGAGGACACACTCCAGCAAGGTTAAGTGCTTTACGTGTTTGGAGTGTTCATTTAACCACATGGTGATCCCAGTTTATTGATTGATGTTTCCTGTTTTATATGGAAATATCTTATGTCTATGTCAGAATCCTGATTCTTTTCCTTATTGCATTTGGTTAACAGAAAACGTTAATAGCAAAATTATAATAAATTGTATATGGATAAAACTCATACAGGCTTCTTACAATGCATCTTGCCCTTACAGATGTGCCTATAGTATAGTGTTAAACTATTTTTTTTTTTTTTTGTTCATTAATTCCTAATAAGGTTTCCTTCGGCGCAAATTATTCAGACATTTTGTAAGGATTGCAAGACATGAGAAAGCATATATTCACTGATTGATGTATATATCTGTTCTCTGAATATTTATGACATGGATTAAAGGGAAACTATAGTACCAGGAAAACAAAATTGTTTTCCTGGCACTATAGCTCCCCTCTCCTGTTTAGTAGATATGCCCCAAATGCAAACTTGCATACATTTAATTATGCATTTTTTCATTGGGTGTAAATCTAAAAACAGCTTGCAAAACCTGAAGTTCTCTTGTCTGCTGTCTTTACAAACCCTCCCCTTTTAACCCTGCCAGACTTTCTATGGCTGTCCAATCACAGACTTACTTTCTAATTAAGGTCAAAGACAAGTCCTTGCAAGGCAGGTGCTCTGAGTAACTGCTGCCTCTTGAGTTTAGCTCCACTGAGCTAACAAAACCAGGGAGTAGCATTCTATGTTGTCAGTTGGAAAGCCATTCTGATGAAACCTGGACGTTTTGCAAAATGAAAAAAAGACCGGACATACTCTTCACACGTAAAGCTTTTCAGCAAACTAAAGTGCTTTAGGGTCTGGATTGTCCCTTTAATCAGCAATTTTACTGCAATTAGTTCTGCTTTATCTCTTTTTTATTTTTTTGCATTAAACAAGAGGCAACATTTAAACTACATTTATTTGGCAATATTGTGTTTTGTTTATTGAAATATTTTTATTGTTAAATCTAGCATTAAGAAGTGGTGAAACCAACCAACCATAAGCACTGCAGCTTATTTCTACCTCTCCTTTCAGGATGGGATCCCATACATAGGTTCCAGTGCTGGCACCAATGTGGCAACAATAACCATCAATACCACCAATGACATGCCAATCGTGTACCCACCATCTCTCCATGCTCTTGGTTTGGTGCCTTTCAATATTAATCCTCACTATCTAGATCCAGACGCCAACAGCAAGCACATGGGGGTATGTAATGTACAGAATAGAGTGACCAATTGGTTAATTACACTGTAACAAACTGTAATCCATTGTTCATTTAAACTTCTACAGACCAAAGATAAATTTCCTTTGAATTAGAGTATTTGGGAATGTGCAAACATAAATGTTTAATGGCATAAGAAAGGATGCATAGATGGAAGTAGGGTACGGAGAGATAAAGGGAGAAAGAGAGACGGAGGTATTAAAGCAATTGTAAAGAAAAGACCATAAAACTTACTAGACAACCTAGAAAGGAGTCAAGACGGGGGTGGGAGTGAGCAGACATACACAGAATGCATGAACTACAGCAGACGCTAAAGGGGACGAGAGAAAGTGGAACCTTAAAGCATTAATAAGAGAGAGTACTTATATCATAGGGGAATTATGGTATTCCTTTTCTTAACGTTATTTTTGTATATTTATACATCTATTTTCAATAACAGGCTTTCTATGTGGTGTATATAATAAGTTTCTGTATTTTTAAAGACTTGACCAAAGCCTCAAATGCTGCTTCTGTCCTGTTTGGAAAATATAGTCTCAGACCGCCTGCCATATTGGTCTCCGTGGTGATTTAATCTATTAGAATTATGGAGTGAAATGTCTCAAGAATTGTTTAAATAGACATACCACTAACTAAATATTCTTTATAATTTAGCATTCGCAGAGAAATAATACCAGCATTGTTAATATTACAATAATTCTGCCTATTTAAGAGAGTGATTGTTTTCACCAACTCTCATGGGATCTGTCTTTACAGGAGACACGGGAACAGAGGATAACACAATACCACGAAGAGCAGGATACGCCACCTGTACTAGTAAGAATTTAATGACTATGAATACACTGTTTTGTTTCTGGGATTTAAAATATTCCAGTGGAGAATGATCTGATCTTTTATATTAATCTAAATTAATTGTGCTATTTGTAGAGGTTGGTGTAGGTAAGTGGCAAGGTAAAGCGTTGCCCGAGATTACTCTCCTGGATGCAGCTCTTTCAACTGCAGCTATAATTTCTTATAGGAGAGAGCAGGCAGATTGTAGATTAGGAGGCATTCTGTTGCTTGTGGCGACCCATGCATTATTCCCATGGGAATAAGTGGATGGATGATGTTACAGTTCATGCACAGCAGGATTCCACAACATCTGCCTATTGAAACAATATTCTATAGTTGCATAGGTCTGGTGAGATTGTGAACTTTATCCACGGGTACAATATTGCTGTGTATGTTGCCATTTGGTGTAGGGGCAGGCAACCTTCGCCACTCCACTCTATCTGCAGATGTTTCAAGAGGGCAAATGTGCCTGTGGCATCCCTTCTTTCTGCTGCTGTTTTGTGGAACACTGCCATGGCGTAGTCCAGCATTTTGCATGAAATGACAACACTTATGAGTTTATTGGAAATCAAGCAGAATGAGATAGGACAACAGTGACCATGACATGGTTCTAAATTGTGGATTTTTCTTATACTTTGATATACCCAAGTGCCCCCTTGAAGTCATGCAACCTTGTGAGAAAATGCAGCCTCACACTAATCTGGAATTAGCACTCACTTTCAGACCCAATGGGACAATGTGATCTCCTTGTCTCCATGTAAGGAGGTAATGGAAATATCACGGTTACTAGTACTCTGGGGAATCATACGCTCCATAATTGGTTTATTCTAACAAATATACCCTCATATGTAAAAGAACTTGGACAGAGAACTCCATTAATGTGACTGGGGATGCATCAGCATCATGATGTGGTGATGTGGTTTTATTAACCTTTGTTTACGTTCCAGGCAATACGGGAGGGATGTTTACTGTTAGTGGAGGGAGACAAAGCGACCCTACTTGGCGTTACAGGAGCCCGTCTCTTCCAAAGGTAATGTTTTCTCACAGTGTTTTCTTCATACTGCATCCTTTGCCATTATGTATGGTGTAGATGTGGGTGTCTGTATATGTATACATACATTTCCTGTTAAACTTGAGGAAAAGTGAAAAGATTAAAATGGGAAGTGTGAGGACTGTATGTGTTCCCTGTAATATGGTTAAATGCAGATCTTGTAGTTTTTCCACTCTGTATTTTATCTTTGTTATATTAAAGGGACCCTGTAGGTACTTTAACAACTTCATTTTATTGAAGTTGTTATAGTGCCTGCAGTCCCCCCCCCCCCAATGATTATCTATGACAGCATCTGGTCAAGGTCCCCTATGAGGAACATTGGATTGGCCCATCATCCTGGAGGCAAATTGAGGAGGTGGTCGCTGCAGCAATGAGGGAGACTCGGCGCTGTAGGAAATTTTTTTTATAACTGACAAGGGGTATCATGGCTGTAGCGTTTGGTCTACATATATGTATTTCCAACGCTACAGTGTTGGAAATACATATATGTAGACCAAACGCTACAGCCACAGTGTCTTTAACACACACACTCTGTAATGGCCCTTAAAAGGACAATGTAGGCACCCAGACCACATCGACTCATTGAAGTGGTCTGGGTGCACTGTCCCTATTGTCCTGAGTTCTGCAATGTATACATTGCAGCTCTAAGTCTGCCTCCAGTGGCTGTCTCCCCAACCTTTGGTACGATATTGGACGCTGGACGTCCTCACACTCTGCGTTGATTTAATGCATTCCTATGGGGAGGTCTAATGTGTGTGCGGCATTTGCGATCGATGCGGAAGGGAGGAGGAGCCACGACCAAGTACTGAGGGACATCAGCGCTGGAATAAGGTAAATAAAGTATGGTCAATAAAACCCTTTTATTAACCACTGCTGGGAGTGGGGGGAGGGAGGGAGGAGTACCTCCAGAATATCTCTAAGTATGTCGTTAACCCCTTAAGGACCAAACTTCTCGAATAAAAGGGAATCATGACATGTCACACATGTCATGTGTCCTTAAGGGGTTAAAGAGTATCTGGTCTCCTTATTTTGTTGCAGACAAGTCACATTTTAAGTGAATATTTGCCCTCATGTTTTTTTATTTTTGCACTACAAAATAATTTAAAAAAACAAAAACATTGAGAGACTCAGACTATTATCTGCATTTGATAATTGAATGATGGACCTTTTTATATAATTAGGAATGTATTAATTGTCTTTTTTTCCCTCTCTTCTTTAGAGGTAAAGCTACATCAGAGCACGATCCTGGACATGATTTCAGCTTTCTCCTGGCTCATAGCTGAGAGGAGTCATTGCTTCCGTAAAACTTGAATGTTCTAAACAATAAACACATCACCTACAGACAGTCTGCGCTCCTCTCTGTTTTGCGTTTTAAACAAATTCTTACTTGTTAGTGAATCACTATTATTCTACTTGTCTATTACTACTGTACACCATAAAAATATTGTCTGGAGTTTGCTGAAGTCTTTTTTCATCATTCGGAATTAGGAAGGAGGGAAAATTATATAGATTTACAAATGTTAATATTTATTAAATACTAATAATTATTTGACCATAGCCTGGATCCATGACAGGGATCCATTTTAGTGAGATATTTGTTGTGCTGGTCTGGGTATTATATTTTGTCTAAAAAAATAAAAAATAAAGTTGCATTAATATTAGTTGTAATTTATTTCTATGTAAGGTGTGACAGTACGGGTGACACCAAGCTCCTTTGATGTTTAAACCACCAGGAATCCCACAAAATTATGAGTTAAGTGATCTGCCACCATCCCGTTGGCTTAAGGTTGGCACAAAGAAGAACTAATAGAGCATACCCTACAGTGATCCAAGACCTGTTATATGAGCTCTAACACGAATTGTATACCCTAACTGGATAACCTCTTTCCTGGTAAACCCATCAGTGCACAAATGGAGATAAGGTAGAGGGAACGCCTGATCCTTACATTTAAAATACTGTACAAACCTAGATTACTGTAATACCTAAGTAAACCAGCATGGGAATAGCATTACATTTCCCCAAACAACCAGCCTTGCACATGTACAACAGATAATGTGTTGTAAGTTTGACTGCAACAAAAAATGCAAAGAAGCCTTTATTTTCAAGCATTAGTCAATTGTTTATTGTTTCCATAGCCAATAGTTACAGTATGTACAAGGGCCAAATCAACTATACTCTGTACAAAATATTAAAATTGGTATAGTTTACAAATTTAAAGTTCCTTAAAAAAAAAAAGGTGCAAAAAACAGTTTTAAAAAACATCTTCAATCACCCTGTACATAAAATAGAGCAGATATACACAAACACACTCATAAGTTTCTCTGTCAGAGGCCCTGGTTATGCATTACTTTGCAATAAATTATAGGCTCCTCTGTTATAAAAAGATAATTATTAAAATTTCAGGTAAAGAAAGGACAATTTATAGATTGGTTTAGCTAGCCTCTTAATACATTATAAAATAATACAAAAAAGATATTGCACAAAAAACAAATAGGAATTTTCATACAAATCAAGACAAAGTATTTTAAACCGTTATGCAAACATTCAATTATTTATCAGAATGTATGTTTGTTTTATTATACACATGATAGCACACACGTTTAATTTAGTAAGCCAATATTTATAAAATCAATAAGGCTTAGTCATGTCCTAGACTGCATGAATAATAAACAGGCACATGTGAGATTGCACAGAAAGAACAAGACTCAAACCAATTAGTGTTTCAAAAGAGATTAAACAACTTTTCTAATTGTACACGGATTTTGATGGTATTAAATTTACTTAACTTAACTGTCAGGAATTCACCAGAAAACTGCACATTCTTGTCAAATACCCGAACTGAGATTTAGTTTTTTTTCTCTTCCTAGTTTAGTTATTTTAGTGTAAAATTCTCTGGCAAGTTTCTGAAAAATCACAATTATGTGAATAATACCCTAGGATTTCTATTTTTATTGGAAGAGGTTTATAGTTAACAACTTACCTTATTGGTGACATCTGTATAATGTATTGAACTGTCACACTTCCTACATATAGCAAAAAGCCTGAAACTGGTCTCAAGTGACAAAACATCTCCCCACTGCACTACTTAAAGATCCTAATCCCAGGAGCAAGTCTCCTTAGGCAGCAAATAAAACAGCTCAAAGTTAGATATGCGTTAAAAAAACAAACAAAAAAAAACCATTCTTTAATAAATGTGTTTCCATAGGTTAGTCGAGAGTCAGGAACCACCCAAACCATGACACAAATTCTAGAACATCTACCGTACTTTTTTTTTGGGGGGGGCCAAATAACTAGAAAAAGGAAGAGGTGGAAATCAAACAGTGCAGTATTTTTTATATTTATCTTAACATACCTTCCAACACCGGGAGGGGTGAATTTGGTATGTATGCAGGCCTGGCAATCTCACTCGGGGCCGCTAATACAGAGAGCGCTATTAACGAGCTCTTTTATGGGCCGAATGCCCTGAGCACAGTATATGCAAGTTTGCCTTATGATGTGCTCACTATTTGCTTTCTGGACACTTGGACTCGGGTGGCAGGACACCAGAGCCTACAAGTGTGAGTAAGATAAGTGTTTATAGAAACCTCAGTTTTTTGATTGTCATATTTGTTTCTGCAGTCATCTCAAGTTATGTCACAGAACTGAAACATACAGATACATCTATCGATGCCATAAACAAGCCACAAGGACAAACTTGTAACTTCGCTTGTGCCCCATGAGCACGTTTGTTAATGGAAGACATTGTGTTTTGATATAATTATAATAAAATAACTGGTTAGAAAAGGAAATCTAATTTCTTCTACAAAATGAAAAGCAGCAAAAATAACTAGCAATTAAAAACGATTTAACAGATTTCTAATTATTTGATCTGTTTTACTTGATAAAGCTTTCTTTAAAAAAAAAAATGATGTTCACTCTGAAATTATGCTACATAATATACAAATCTCTGCTATGTACATATAGTACACAGCTACAGTTATGTCTTGATGTGTTACGGTAATTATTTTACAAAATACATATAAAAGATTTATCATATATAACGTTTCAAGTAGCAAAAACATCCACATGTACTGCATTAGTGTTTATATTATTTTTGATAAAGACCAGCACTGAAATGGTAGATGACAGAAAGTCTAGTAAGTGGTGCATAGTTTCTTAATATCAATGGCTTTTACATGAATTATAAACATTAACATTATGGGATTTAACTGCTCTGCGTTTTACTACTGCAAGAAAGCTTATTAAGAAATAAAACCCCATAGAATGACCTGTTTAAAATCATAGCTGTATTTCTGGCTTATTGCATGCATATAGAACACAGCTAAATTCAAATCAAGATAACTGATTCGGAAACACACTCGAAGGTCCTATATAATAACAGCCCTTAACTTAACCTTAAATCCAAACTTCCCAGTGCAACAAAAGTAACTGGTATGCTCCATAAGACAAATATATATACAGAGCTCCTGTTCCACAAGATTACTGTTTTTACAAATACTGACTGGGAGTGCACAGCATTGTAAATGCATAATTATCTGGTCCTCTGTTAAACTTTAGTATACATAGGACCACCTAACAATTTTAAGTTCACCTAGTAAGTAATGCACTCTATTTTATTTAGCTGATAAAAACCAAAGGGAAATAGTACAGATATTTCAATGAGTGGTGTGCAATCATAACCATATGCTGCCATTGACATCAGGATTCACCCTTAAAAATGCACAGGTGTGCATGAACGATATTTAGAGCACTAAAGCAGCTAGCTATGTTACCTCCATGGAGTTTCCTATATATTTTACAAAGAGCCCTGAAGGTGGCATGGCCACTTGAGTTGCAGTTAGTGAGGGGAGCACCTGAAGCTCGATATATTTACAGCTCCACCCTGTAAATGCCACCATCTTCATTGTGGCAAATGCTATTAATCAACACCTGGCGTGTCATCTATTGTGAGCTATATCAATGTCATACTGCAGCATTCTCCATACACCATCTCTTGGGATGTGTGAGATGATGCTATAGACAACTGCGGGTATGGACAAAACTTGTTAGTGAAAACTCAACCTTTTGTCAAGTTTTGCAAGTTTAGGTTTTGACCATAAGACAAACTAGTTGTTATTTTGTCTTATAACATCCATTAATTGCTATAGGCTTTTTCTCTATTAAATATTCAATAGTGACAGGGTGCTGAGAGGGTAATTAAATCCAGAAAAAAACTTGTTTAAGTTAAACTTTACAGCACAAAAAAAAAGGTAACACACAAACAAGTTCTAAGAAATTCAGTTTACAATCAATCAAGAGTTTTAAATAAATCAAAATAAACAACGTATATATTGCTGTTCAAATGAATGGTTAAGATTAAGGAAGAACACACACTGGTACTCTGCAGAGAAAGGCAATGCTTGTCTTGCCTCCTATAAAGTAATGCATGGTTAATTCAAATCATGTTGGTAATGACCGTTATTAACAGACCCATTGTCTACTGTATTTCTGTTTGATTTTGTTAAATAACTTGTACTGCTATTTAGAGCTGTGCTGCAGAGGTAGCAATTTAAAAATACTGCTTGAGAACCTTTTTGGCAACACATGATTTTACTGCTATAATGTCACTTTCAATTATAGTCTCTAAAAAAGATTCCGAAAAAATGTGTTAACTTCTGTGATGTGGTGGACTGCCAACCCCCAGTCAAAAACAACTGGATAGGCATTGTAGGAAATGTAGTATGCTATAGCTGTAGGTTAACTGAACAATGTAGCGTTGGGAAATACATATCTGTATTCCGAACGCTAAAACGCTAACCAATTAACGCTAACTGAACAATGTAGCATTGGGAAATACATACCTGTATTCCGAACGCTAAAACGCTAACCAATTAAGCCTCCAGTCCCACTGTGTTTACAAAAAAAAAAACCCAATCTAATCCAATGCTCCTCATAGAGGAGCATTGGGGAACATGGTGGGGAGCATATATGTGGTTTGAACCCATGCTTCAGAGCCCTCTAATTAGTGAAATAAAGGGTATTGGGAATAAAATGAAGCTGTTAAAGTGCCTACAGTGTTCCTTTAGCCACCACTGATTAGAATGGAGTTAGAATGCTTTAGTCTAAATCTACTGATGCTTGTTGGTCCCTGGGCAGAGTGACTTGGGCTTCCTGTTTGAATTAGTCTTATTACTAAATCTCTACTATAAAAATTTCACTGTAAGGGGGAGGGGGGGGGGAATAATAGATGAAAATGTGTCGTTTTCACATTACGGAGTTCATTAAGAGTCAAGTGTTTTTCAAATATTTGTGCAAAACAAATGATTTGTCTGTAATTATCTTCACCGATCGTAATCCTGAGTGTTCTAAGGAATACATAGCAGCCGTGAAGGAAGTTTATATTGCAGCTACAATTGTAGCATTTTGGATGTATACTTTCACAATGAGTACCGCTATTGCTGAAAGCATCCCTGAGGCTTAATGTGTTAGGATAAAGGTGTTTTCACAGCCTCTGATAGTTCTTTTAAAGCCCTAGGGAAATCTGGTGTGATGCCACCAGCAGGTGGACTAACTGAATGGTGGACTAAATCTGCAATTAGGCTTGAAAATAAAATATTAATTCTTAATTGCAGCTCTTTCTACCAATGGCTATAGACCACTTGTGTAAACCATACAT